AACAGAGAGACGGGACGGATCGATGATTGCGATTGCGCGAGAATCCTGCGGACGATTCTAAATGCCAGGGAATCGACGACGATCGTTTGAGAGACGCTGGGCTAGTATCAGCGGGGAGTAGAGGAAACTAACGGCAAAGAGGGTCGATGCACTTGGTCTCGGGGCCGAGAAAGGATCCACCCCTAGACTCCGAGCAAACGACGTCGTTGATGGATACCCAGCGTACGCCTTAGGTATCACCGTTGCGAATGAAGAAGCTCGAACGATGAAATCTACCGTCAGCCACCGATCGACGCGATCTCAGGACGAGATCGCGATCGCGACGCCATGCCGATCCTCGGTTACCGCCGCACGTTTCTTCCTGCACGTAATATCCGAAGGAACCACGCACCCTGACTCGTCTTATCTCACCGTTCTTCGCTTCTTTCGTATTTTCTTTCCTCTTGTTTGCTTCTCACGCCCCTGCGTTATCTTATACCGTGGTGTATTTACTGTTCGTCACGAGGGTGCTGCGCATGCCTTTTCCTTCGGTTGATCGTCAATTTCCTCGCGATCTCGAGACTCTGACCCCAATGAGTTCTCGTGTTATCGCATGACGCGGGGAAAGTATTGTTGTTCTTTGGGCAAATCACGAAATTCTCCAAAGAAGCGATCGCGATACGATACTTTTCCCTTCGAGGGATCGAATGCAAGATACTACCCTACTCGTTGTCGACGAATCAATACGTCGAGATAAAAATCAAGAGAAACCGAGGAACGTCATAAATATAAGGAGACAACGCGATATTGAAAAGGCGACCTTGCCAAGATTCAAGCGCAAGGCCAAGCAGGGAGGGTGTTCCGTGTTTCGGTACGAGACGCATCGTCGAGTGTGCGTCGTTCGTTCGTCTGCCAAACGCTTTCATCCACTCTCGCGCTCTTTCACCCTTTTACCCTTTTTCTTTTTCTTTATTCTTTGACGTAAGCCTTTTGTACCCACCACCCCAGGATATTTGCGGAGCTTTGTTTCGTCGACTGGCTGCGTACCGGGCTTAAACATACGTTGCTAATGACACCAGTCCGAAGATACAAAAGGTAGCCTCCTGGATGCCGACAAATGTTTATTTATACTTTGACCATCGAGTCGAGAAAACAACCGGTGGATCGTTCGAGGTCGGGAATCGTTTCGTTCCATCCGCTCCGCGTCTTTCTGAACAAGTACTTTGGAAAAGCTTATCGACAATTAGAACCACGTGAAATAGTCGTGTCTACTTATGAACGATAACGAATGAAAAGCAGTCTGCTCTCCTGAGCCAGGGTTTAAACACTTTAAACCATCGAAACCCTATAGATATTCCACGTATGTATTCGAACGTGGCAATGTTGCGGGTCACTGCAATGCGGCTGACGGTGGCAGTTGGTCAATAGGCAACCAGCCAATCCCGATCGAATCTAAATAAACCCTTGTGCCATTTCGCACGGTTACCTCCGAATCTGTTATTTTCACGAGGGATCCCTCCCCCGGTCTCGTGTGCCGACCGATTCCACTAAAGATTACGCGATCGACACAGATTTCCACCGATCGATTTACGTTTTATACGTGTATGTACTTTACTTACGAAAAAGCATTCGTGTCCAAGTTTCTCGTCGTAATTTTGCCATCGTTGTTGTTTAATTCTCCGACAAAGGTTACACAGTCTCGGATTCATAACCGCAGTCGTACGTTCAAATTTCGCGCGTGTAAAAGAGATCGCACGCGCAAGAGCTTCCTAACGATCGTAGTTTCTTCGAAAGATGACCCAGAGATGGCAGCATATAACTTTCCTGGTCGACGAATCGTTTCGCAGTGGGAAAAACACGCGTACTTACTCGGTCGGTATTCGCAAGAATGGCGCGCGCTTCTTTACATTTTCTCTTCTCGTAAGCCAACACACGAGAAGGGATCGTAAAATTCAATCGTTCTTTCGATACGATTGCGTTGTTATCGTAGACATTGTTTTCTCGGGGCCGCGGCTTAGTGTTTTTCGATATAGACACGCATACGTTTCACGTTCGTCGTGTCGTATGTAGCACGAACAAAAGCGTTTGCGGCCGCAAATCTTGTCCTCGCGCTTCAAAAATTCGCTAAGACCGATCCAGAGAGATAAAAGGGTTCATCGTTATACCCGATAGTCTCTGGACAGAAGAAAATGCCTTTGCACGCATTTCATTTCGTTGGAATTGTCGTTCTTCCAACGCGCTTGAAATTCTATTCTTAGTCTAATCGCGTCTTATCTCTCTGCTCGCTTAATGTTTGCACCGTTCCTCGTTATCGGGCGTTACCTTTATTTTTCGGAACATTATCTACGATTCACGTTCGTCTACGTTATCATTATCATAGTTTCCCATGAACGCGCGTTCCCAATGAAGTTTTCCGAAGGCAGCACACAAGGATTGGAGGAAATCAGACTCCTTTCGGGGACTGGATCTCGAGTTCGCGTATTTATGCGTTTCTCCTCCCGCCCAGCCCCTCTCTTTATCCATTCAGCCTTTCAATTATGCGTATTACGTACGCGTATGCATATCGCCACGGGAGAGGGTTAGAGGGGGTGGCAATGGAAACGAAACGTGGGGGAGAAAATACGATCGAATGAAACCCTAGATGGCTCGAGAGCGACGGTGAAACCACCCTCTACGAATCCCGGCGGCGTTACTAACCGATTACATGACACGCGTGCTGGTAATATAGGTCAGAGAATGCGATCGCAAAGGCTGCACCGTTCAAGGACGCAGAGTTGGCCGTTACCACAGCCTTCTGTTCGCCGCGAAATATTCAGAGTCCATGCGAATCACAATGTTCGTCATCGTAGCTGACTGTTTGTCCACCCGAAAATCCGCGGTAGATTGGAAACGTTCACGGGCTCCGACCCGAGAAACGTCCAACGAATCGAGGAATGGCTTCGAATCTTCCAATCGTTTTTTTGGCCGCGAAAATGGCGAACGCTCTTCCAGCACAGGAATCTCGAGCCTGCTGCAAAAACGCCCACGATAACGTGGCATCGATATGCTTATTTTTACAAAGATCTTATCGAGCTAAACACGCGAGACCCGCGCAGTCACAATACCAGCGCATGATCGGTCTCGCAATATCGATCGTACGTTTCTAACGGTAGGTACATTGCAAACGATAGATCGTTACGCGGTGAAACGAAGGAAACAACGGCTGTCCTGGGGGAGGAGGAGGAGGAGGAGGGGGGGGGGGAAGTTCGAAGAACGGGGACACGAAGAAGAGGTACACGTACCCCACGGCTTCGTTGTCGCGCTGCCTAACTCCCGGATTTTACGAGACTCGACCTACTAGTGCGGTTTAAAGTGCCACGCCGACACTTCCGAAGATGGCGCGGTGGCGTGTACGCCCACTCGGCGGCTGTGTGAGCCTTACAATGCCTCGAGAGTAGTTTTTGTTCTCGAATAAAGACTTGTTCGCGGTACAATGCCATTCCTATATCGTATCCTCGACCGTACTCTCCTCCCACCCACTCCCTCTTTCAACGGGGAGTTTCTTCGCCAGGGCGTTTATTCCTGGCCGATCAAGATTCATCGGGAAATTTCGATCCAAAAGACGAGCCGCGATCGTGGCGAGACATCGACGGAAATTCAAATCTTTTAACCGTTCACCCGATCTCTGTTATTCTTGGGACGTGATTTCGAGGGGTGGCCGGATTTTTAATTGCGAGAATAAGGGTCTGTGCGCGGCGAGCTAAAAAGAAAAGACGGACAAGGCGGGGACATCCTCCTTGGTCTTTTGGTCGGCCAGTGGTTCCCCTGGCAGAGAAACGATAATTACGCGATACAAAAGAGTCGCCGGTCCGCGGTGGTGTCACCGTCTTCTCCGAGAGCCTCTTTCGCATTCTCCTCGACGACCGCCGACCCAACCTCACGAGATATCCTCTCCGTCCGTTGCAACGGGAGTATCGTCGAATAATAAGTCCCGTCTCGAAAAGATCTAGACCCGATATAATAAACGAGACCGCATTCAGTGGACCGACAAGCCTGGACAGCACCCGCCCCGATGTGCTGCCGCGACGAGAATCCCTAACGAGAACTCATTTATCCTTGTGTTCGTTCCAGACGTTTCGAATGTAAGATCCTCGTGCACGTTTACCACTCGATCCAACCAGTCGTCGAGTTTCAGATCTTTCCGACGAGTTTCTAAATCGAACGAAGGTGCTTCAGGTGTGACGACGCGGCTCGCGCGCAACCCTCTCCAGGCGAAAGGAATAATACTCGTGACGACTCTAGACCGGGAGAATAAGTACCCGTGGAAAGCTCGGTCTCTCGTCGTCGCACGATTTCGATAGGGACAAGCATCAGGAAGAAGAGGCCTAGCGCGCGATACCACCCTTGCCCTTGACGGTAAGCGCGAGAACGCTCGTCTGAGAGTTCCCGGAGCTCGTAGAGACAGGGTAAGTAGACATGAAAAAGAAAGCGTGGGGACACGCAGGGATCGAGAGAGCGAGAGTGTGTGTGCAAGCGAGACACGCAAAGCGTTCGCGAGCTTTCCTTCTTCCATTTCGATTCGCCATCGTCGACGAGGGCTCGCGCGAACCTCACGCACTCGCGTGGAATTTCCAAGGCGCGAGCAGAGCGAGCAGCGAAAGTCGCGCGTCGCGTCGAGGGTGCCGCGACGAGAGCCATGGCACGTCGAGTGGTACGTTGGTTGGCATTCCCTCGGTCTCTCGTTGTTTCGGTTTACCCGCGCTTCATCTATGCGTCGACAAAAACATCCTTTCGGCTCGAGAAGCTATCGCAGGAACCGGAGCGTAGGTACGAGAACGATACGCAGGCTAAACCCCTCTGCTGAATTCTTAACGCATTCCTGAAGCACTCGAACGGATAAACTCGGCCCCCGCGAGAATAGAATTCAAAGGATTCCTCGTATTTCCATTGCGACAGCTTCTGTACGAGACCGTCGTAAAATCCGTTGATAAACCTAAGTCTAAGAATCACCTCTGAAATACACATTCGTCGTTGACACTTACCCTTCACGTGTTCCGGGGTATCTGTGGCACCGGTTCTCATGATATCGCTCAGGTAATGCTCCAGAGTTCTCATGCTGTCCAGCGGGGAGTTTCCATTGGCCGTCATGCGATCCTGCGAAGAAAATATCATAAGATCATGTGCTTTCATGACTGTTCAGCGGAGATCGGGGAAAACGTGGTTGGTCGGTTGAATTCATCGGTGATATTCCCATAGATCGCGAGGCGTCAACGGATTGATGACACCCGCAGCCCTTGCGGCTAGGATTTCAATTTCTCATCGGTCTCATCGTTATCATGAGCGATCGAAACCAACTCGAACGGAGTCTTTCGAGGACGAAGAAGCGGTTCTTCGTGCAATAGAGTAGGTTGACCGTACAGAAATGTCCTATGGGAGACCACCGATCCAGTGAACAATGAACAAGCCGGGGAAAAAACGGCGAGATGTTTAGACGCGATCAACAACAGAGGAGTTAGCTACTGTGAAGTGAAGTAACGACGAGAAGAAGGGGCAGCTTGTAACGAATAGGAGCGAAGGCTGAATGTCGCGCGTCGTTCGATATATTTAACTTTGACATTGTGTAAGCCGATTCAAAAATAATTGAGGACACGGAGGGAGAGAGAGGTGAAGAAAAGCAGAGACAGAGACAGAGAGAGAGAGAGAGAGAGAGAGAGAGAGAGAGAGAGAGAGAGAGATCTGTATCGATCGCGTACACGTTCCAAGGATTTATACATTGAACCCTCCTCTCCGAACGAATACGATCGTTTGTTCTTTTTCATCGTTGCCGTATAAAAAACGATGAAGCAAGGCTGTCATTCGCCCGCGGTCTTTCGCGAAATGCGTATTCGCTACCTTTGTCGCAGTAGGCTTCCTCCGCCGTTTCTAGGGCTTCGACCAAAAAGAAACATCAGACGGAGGGACTGGAGTACAACACGAGTACTACGACGATTCGGCCCGAAATTCGTTCGACATTGTTCGACGATGATCGGTCGAGAAAGCTGACGACCGTTGCAACAAAGATTCGTGTGCTCGTGTGGCTGGCGAATCGCCCGACCATTCGTCGTTCCTTACTACTTGCCGCGGTCTATTACGAGACTGCAACGCCTCGTCGTTCTCGGCGGATCGACGAACGAGTTTACAGGGTATCGTACATCATCGGATATGGTATCGTTGACTACAAAACCCTGTTCGCCTCTTCTTTTGCTTGAAACAAGAAACTGAAGAACAGCGACAGTGATTGTTATACGAGAAACACGAACAGTCACGCGAACAACGATGATATTTACGTGACGTGTCGTCTGCTTGGAAAGGATGACGGGAGACGCGACATCGGGAGGAAGGGGAGACTTAAGGCCAAACCAAAGGACGACGAGCCGCGAAACGAAGAGCACGCGTCCATCCGCCTAGCTCGACGTCGAATAATTCTCTCCTCCCACCTGCACTCCTCGAGCATCACCGGCGGAGGTGTAAAAGGTGGACCCACCCTCGCCATCGTTTCCACGTCCCGTGCGAACACTCGCAAGCCCTATACAACACGCTACCCGCTCTTTTCCACCCTCCTCGGTCACGGGAGATCACGGGGCTGTTCAACCCCCTTCTGCTTCTCCTCGCCCTCCTCCTCTACCGGTGGCCCTCACTCGTGCACAGAGACCACGGTCGTATACACAGGTCCGGAAACTCCCGTGGTGGGGGTGATCCCTTAAAGAAACAAAGTGTACTTTCGAACTTTGCCACGAAGCGAGGGCACTACAGTCTTTTGGATCCAGTCATGGACCTAGGAATGGGACCTTGCACTCCGTCTTCTAATTCTTATGTCCATGGATTCAGTCGCGGTCGTATACATTCCCTGTGGTGCATCAGGGCTCATACGCCTATTCTTGCTTTTAAAACATGATGTACGTACACAGTACACAACGATTAGAGCGCTGTGTGGCTAGCGGAAGATTCATGAAACTTTCGGTCTTTCTTAAGGGAACACCCCCACCACAGGAGTTTCCGGACCTGTGTATACGACCGTGACAGAGAGACCAAAGTGAAACAGCGCGCGTGCGCCCTTCTTGTCGGCTAGCGTGACGCAAGCGTGCAACGCGCGGATACCCCGTTGTGCGAGCGCAACCACCACGGGATACAACGATTTTCCTCCCTCTTTCGGTTGCGTCGCTCCGTTCCCGTCTAGCTGGAGGCACGCTAGAAAATCAATATAGGGAAACCAGGAAGCAGCGGCAGGGCGTCGACAGCAACCTCTGTGCTCACGCTCCATCGTGGAATCGCCACTACTCTAGCTGTTCTAGCCACTGCTCTATCACCTTCCCTTTCTCCACGCCCCTCTCTCGCTCTGTCTCACTTATTCTCCTCGATTCCGTAAGCCCATTCATACACCTTTCTTCTCGTTCTTCTGGTTCTTCTCCCTCGCGCGATCCATTACTATCCCCTCACCCACCCAACCCAATCCCCCTCCTCTGATCGATTCCGGCGGTTTCCGCGATTCGTTTCCCATTCGCCGGATCTCCCTACCTCGCATTTCGCTTCCTCACGGTTGCTCATTAATTTCCAATGGGTAAGCCCCGTAAATTTCGATGCCGAACTGTCTTCATTCTCCACGAATCATCGAGCGAACCATGATCGGAGGTTTTCAAACTAGGAAAATTCGTAACCGTAAGGAAATACGATGCCGTGATACGCGCAGCGTGGTTCGTGGCCATGCAAGAATTCGTCGCGTTCGAGGGCACACGGTGGGGTAAAGAGAGAAAGAGAGAGAGAGAGAGAGCAGCGACGGTGACCCCAGGATTCTGCGCTATACGGCTGCGAAGCATGTGCCCCCCGCACACGGATTGGCCCAGTTCCAAAGTTTCAAGCTCGTAAAAAGCAACGGCATCCTTCGAGCAACCGCATACCGGCGCTGTCGATTCTCTGCCCGCGAATTAGATTACCGGATCGAAGATTCGAATCGCGAGACACGGCACGAATCCGTTCTCTCAAAAGGCGGTCGATGATCCAGTTGTCCGATAGAATGATACATGCACCGTCGAAAGACGCGGGGGGCATTTAATCGTGGGCTGGGCTTTCGCAAACGTCTTGGTCGAAACAAAAAAGGGAGACTAAGGACGACGACGACGACGACGAGAACGAGTCGGGGGGTGACGGAAACGATAGGGGCCGCGCACGATAGAAGTAAAAGACCGTGAAAGGGGTTGTTAGCGAGCGTGTGTCCTCGTAGATGCATTCGGGTGTACATATATCCATCTTCGAGTTCTCCATTTCCGCGCGCATCCAGACGGTCTAGACACGAGCGTTCTTACGCAACGAACAGCCCCCTGTTGTACCGAGCCCGTTTTTCTGCTCCTCGAGTTTGTCTTTCTTTCGCGTGACGCGGCAGACACGTACTACATGGGATACATACATATACGATCCACTGCCGCCACGTAACTCATCCCTCTGTCGAACTGTTTCTCCCCTTTCCTTAGGAACGGAGTGTCATTCTCGAAACGTCCATTGGCTTCCGGACGGAGGGGAAGAGGGGGTGGGCTTAACTAATCGAATCGTGAGGTAGACGTTGCGAAAGGAATCGAGAGAGTAATAATTTGCTGTCGCTTCGAAAGATGGATCCGCTGACGCGACATGAAAATCGGTCTGTCGCGGAATCGAAAGACGAGGAGGGGAAGCGAGGGTGGACGAAAGAGAGAGAGAGAGAGAGAGAGAGAGAGAGGAGGCGCGGTCGAATCGAAACGGACGCGGTTGGTTCGGTTCCGTTGGCGAGGCACACGCGTAACGATGCGTGGCGAGACGAGGCGAGGCAACGCGCGGTGAAGTTGTGGAAATCGAGCGTAGAGACCGGGACAACGTAACCTGAATCTCGAGGCAAGTACGGAAGAAACGATTCCAGTCGGCTACCGCGAACTAGGTCATCGTCGGTGGAAGCGAGACGTTGACGAGAAAGGGAAGAGAAAGGGGAACAACGGTAGAGCGAAACGCAGGGTGTGGAAACGACAGAGGGAGGGTAGCGGAAGGGCTACGAACACGGACTGCTCTGGCTCGTCGTTACCGATTACTCTTCCCCGCGATCGGATTTCAATCATCGTTTGTATTTAATCTTAAAAGGTATGTAACTCTAAGGAAACATCGTTTGACCGAGGATACGTTGTCGGACAAATTAGTGCAGGTTTTCAAAAGATCAATGCTCGACAGTGGTTCCGGCCGATCGATGTTGCGACCGTTACCGACGAAAATACAGTCGATCGAGTTTGTTTCGTTACCAGTTATGTATCACGAAAAGCAGTCATTGCGAATGCGAATGCGAATGCGAATGCGAATGCGAATGCTGATGCAAGGGTTGAACGCAAGGAATAGGACGAGAGAACGACGCGTTCGATAGCGGGTGGCTGCAGACCACGGATGCCGTATTCTCTCCGATCACTGCAACGCTTCAAGAGCAGCGGCGCTCTCCTCGTGAAGAATGAAAACACGTTGTTTTATTACATAAGTCGTTCATCTTGTTAAGAGTTCTAAGCGAATTACGATTAATTCCAGGCCGCCAAGAAAGCCCAAAGAAACCGTGTCGAACGGAAATACAAGAAGAAAGCACGAGGGTGGGTTGCATCGCGTGGAATTCCCTGGATCGCAAGCGGTGAGAGTGGGGCGGTTTTCGAGAATCTTGGGGCAGCGGTGCGCGGAACGGCGACGAGCCCTGGACGAAAAATCTATACCGCGCGAAACCGGACTGACCTATAAACCTCGTGCCGGGGCATCTCCGCACCGGCGCAGTTCCCAATTCAAATAGGAGGGTTCCCGAATTGGGTTAACATCCAGATATTCCGTCGTCCCTCGAATTAGTTGAAAGAGTTGCGTCCGTCGTCTTGTTGTTTCGCACCGACGAAATTCGCGGCGCGCGGCCGCCTTTTTTCTCGTTTAGTGCCTATTTCAAGGACGAATTTACGCAGCGCGACCAGAGCGACGATGGAATTAACGCTTCTGGCTGCGTGTGTCGCGATGCTCTCGCGACACGTAGGTATAGTAGACGGACACGATATTCTGTTCTCGTAAAACCATTAAATTCTAAGGGAAGCCTCGTTTACGGCAGCCGGACCAGTAATTTGACGCTGTTAAATCGAAATGGGTTACCTGTAGAACAATTTTTTTCACCGATACGTCGGATCTAACATATTTTCTGTCTTATTCTTCTAATAATAAAATCATTAAAAAATCACTCGAAGAATGGTATATTTTGCATAAAGTTCCGCAGTCTAGTAATTACTATTAAGTAAGAGGCGGCAGTGAATGTGAATACCGTAAGCAAGAGTTTTAAGCATAAATTCGGAAATGACGTTTGCAGCCTGAGATTCGAGCCACTTCTAAAATGTTAGAGCGTTAGCCCCTTACGGCAACACTAGCACAGGGGTGCGTACAGCCCTTGGTGCGGTTACACGAATAAACGCCTTGCTAACCGCTTAATTTTACGAGAAGAAAAAATCATGTCCGTCGACTATACCAACATACCTCCTATACCTATACCGTTCACGGTCTCGCGGACGTTACCGTTCGATTCTCGATAGAAACGATTATCGCGTCTTTATTAATAACGCCCGCTCCTCGGTATCTGGTACACAACCGTCCCGCCGATTAACCGGCTAATCGACTTTTATCAATTTTCTCGCGTGCCTTCCCTGCCGCCACCACGCGTATCGACACCGCTTTCAAATGCCAGATGCCACTCGTCACCGCCTATATTTCGATATGCTAGATACGCTAGATACGCTAGATACGCTAGATACGCTCGATATATGTACGTATGTGTACTCGTCATCGACTAGCAAAAGCACGAGAGCGACGTTCTCGTAGAAAATCGGTGCATCGCGTGTCGCGCTCGTCTTCGTTTCTCAACGAAACGATCGGCTCGGCGACGACGAACGGAGCGAAACGTATCGCGTCCGTGCACCTTTCCATATCCCCGGTTTGCAACGCTTAAGCGAGCGTAAGGAAAGTCGACGATCGAACGGCAATATCGAGCGACGTTGCGCGCGTCCTATTTCGTCAGATTCGCTCGGTCTGTATTTCGTAACGAAATACTTTGACGACGACAACGAGCAACGTGCAACGACGCCTGGTGCTCGTCAAGGTAACGCAACCACGGGGAATCCTTTGTAATTCGCAGGCCTTGCGGATTTTTTTGGTTCGATCGTTCCACCGTTTTCGCGGATAGAACGTGAATGTTCGATAAGAGGAAAAACGAAGTTCGATCATCGATAGATTCGAAGGTTCCGAGGCACGACGGAAAAATAGGCGTATTCGGGCGTACGTAGACATACACACACACACACACACACACACACACACACACACACACACACACACACACATGCGTGAATAGAGATAGAACACGCGGGTGGTGCTCGTCGTCGATTGGTTTGCTCCGACTGGGCAGCCAGACCGGAGCGGAGTGGAGCGGAGTGGAGCGGAGCGACGCGAAGCGGCGGCCTATGGCACGTGTCCCGATTCGCTTCCAAGGTGAATGACGACCGACCGAGTTATCGGACTCGTAGAGCTCGAGCATTTTTTCGCTTCGTTGGGTGCTTTTCATCGACGCGCGTCGTAAGTACATACATCGACGACACAACGCGCCCCGAATTCCTCCTTTCGATCCGTAAACTACGTTTACTGTTTATTATATCGTAGCTCGTACCTGATTACGCGCGTACTCCACCACTGTGTAAGTAAATCATTCGGAACGAAAAACACTTGCGAATCATCATCGAATCGTAGATTCGCTTGATGTTGCACGTGCGTGTAACGACCTCTAGGAGTGACGTAGAACCGGAAAGGAAATTGTAAAACAGCAAACAAAATATGCGGACGATTGATAAAGTCGTAACACGCCGTCTGCATTGCGGACCGTGCGTGATTATCAAGCAACGAGACCGTGGCACATCTCGCGTTTACCGATTATACCCAGTAGAATTCACCGGGCGCGACTTTGGATATTTCTCGAACGATATCAAAATGATCGATCACCGCGGGTTATCGCGCGCACGTAATCGGGTCCCTTCCTTCTCCGTGGAACAACGCGAGACGCGTAACCTCTTTTCGTTTCGAGGCTCGTCCTCGACCATCGTGCTCGTTTTCAAGTCACTGGATCGTACGTACAAGGTCTGAGAAACGCTACTCGTAATCGATTCGACGACGTTAAGGTTGGCAACGTCGATAAGCGATGGGCAAATTCAACGCCCGTTCAATGTTCATACGCGCGAGTTACCATGCTCGGAAACATTTCTGCGAGTCGGCACATAGGCACGTTGGACGTTGGTAAAATTCACGTGTCACATTCGAGCGAAGAACATCGTCACCTATCGAGCGCATCTGGTATCGCGAATTGGAACAACAAGAGATCATTTTTCATCGGGTTTAGTACAAGTTATAGATGAGAATAGAAGAAATAAAACGATACGGCCGTTAAACGACGGAAAGAAGGTTCGCGAAGGGCGCGAGCGTTCGCGCTAGAAAATCCGCCATTTCTCTCGGACAGTATGCATGCAGGTCTATTTTTGACAAGTGGTTAAAATAGCTGAGCTTAAACTTCTGCTAGACACACTGTTCGAGCGGCCGAGTGCGAAAGGAATTGGGTCAGACATCAACGACTAAATAAGTAGACGGAAAGCCTTTCTTTTCTCGTGGTGAATCGAGCTGCGCTAAAAATTACCGGACGCGCAGTCAGTCCCTCGATCCTGATTTGAAAAGATTGTTTTGCAACTTGCGGTTAGCTCGAGGTCAGATACGTTGGTTCGATTCTCAGGATTTTGCAGGTCGAAACCGCGACCACTACTAAACACACTCTGTAACGAATGAAAAAACATTTTCAAAAGATCGTTCGTACAGACGTACGGTGAACACGCGAAACGAACGGCAAACACCAAAGTATACGTATACTTGTATACCATCGAACGCGTTCGAGCACCCCATCACGGCGGAGATCCTCTCGAATTTCCGGACGTACGACAGACCATTCGAAGACGAGACGACGTCTCGGCGTATAGCGGGCGACCGTCGAAACAGCCGGTTGCGCCGTCTAAATTTAAATTCGAGTCTCGAAGTCGGTTGCATAACCTGGCATCGAGTGCGTGCACGAACGAAACTGCGGAAGTCCGAGCTACCGATGTATATACGTACATACTTTATCGACGGGTTTGTGCACGATCGCAGGAGCGGTGTCGCATCGCGCGTGTACCCTTTGCCTACAGCCTACAACGCGGTAGGTGGTCAACGATCGATAACGGAATGCCAGAGTAAAAGTCGAGGAAACACACGCCTACGTTGCCGCGCTTTCGTGCCGCCGCCGCCGCCGCCGCCGCCGCCGCCGCGACGTCCAAGAAGGAAAACACATTTTTCTATTTGCGGGCCACGATCGATGTCGCGCTCGAACGTCGAGTCAAGATTCGAGTAGACCTAGCGGAATCGAAAACGTAGAGGAAGGATTCCACCACCTGTCAGGATCCAATAATCGAACAGAGAACGAGGAACGTACTTGCTGGAACGGCGGCAACTGCAACAAATCCCTCTCATCCGCAGCGGTAACCTCAAAGGTAGGCGCCGGTTGGGGCGGGTATATGTTGCCCTTGCCGGGATACGAGATGCTCCGTCGAAATTTCACCGGACTGATGCAAGACGGATGAGCAGCAGCGGGTCCCGGATGACCGGGAAACGTCGGGCTCGGTTTTCTACCTTGCAGACCAGCCGCGGCTGCTGCCGCGGCGGCGGCGTGCAACGACGAGTGCAACGGTGGTAGATTCGGTACCGATCTACCGCGACTCCACGGCGAAAGGCCGCTACTCGCGACCGCGGCTGCCTGTGGTCCGGCGCCCCATTGTTGAGGTGCTTGCGGACCACCGGACCAAGCCGCGTAACCCTTTCCCGGAAGGTAAACACCTGGATGCGAAGTAGCCGGTGGCTGTTGTTGTTGTTGTTGTTGTTGTTGTTGTTGGTGCTGTTGTTGTTGTTGTTGTTGCTGCTGCTGCTGTTGTTGTTGTTGTTGTTGTTGTTGTTGTTGCTGTTGTTGCTGTTGTTGTTGTTGTTGCTGTTGTTGCTGTTGTTGCTGTTGTTGTTGTTGCTGTTGTTGCTGTTGAGCAGAGGTTACCTGCAGACCGTGTCTGTTCCCGGGAGCACCGGCGTTTCCGTGCTGTTGAGGAAAATTATGACTAGCGGTAATGGCGCGACGAGCTCCCGTGGACACAGCCGTCGCGGTGCCGGCGAACAGACCGGTCGGTCCGCCGCTCGGGAAATTCTGAAACGCGCCGATGGTTCCATTGACCGGCAACGCGTGCAGACCGGTGTCATCCGGTGCGGACCAGAGACTAGGCACCCTGCTGGGATCGGTGAAGCCCTGAAGAGCCGAGCCTGTGTTGCATGTGATGTCTTTCTCGGTGGAGGAGGGCGTCGTCGGCGTGATTGCGATACTCTCGACCTCGACCGAGTCTTTCGACTTCTCCTGTCCGACCACGGTATCCAAGCCGGTGCTCGGCGATAACGGCGCGGTCTTACCGGTAGCCTGTTTCTCGATCAACAGATCGTCCTGCATCGTCGAGGTCGTCACGGTTACGGCGTTGTTCGCGCTGATACCACCGATCGACGATTTCGTCGTGGCGGACAAAGAGTTCGAGAAGAGACTCGTCGCGCTAAAGTCCCCCATAAATTCACGGGGCGGGAGGGGGATGTTCTTCGTCTGTCCGTTCGTTCCCAGAAGTCGGTCCTCGCCGTTCTCGAACGCCAACGGGCTCGTTCTTGCCGGCACGAACGTTGTCGACCAACCGACCGGAGCTCGCGAGACACCTATCGATCCACACCGTACGCGTAAAAACACCTACGACGAATACAGGAAGCTGTGCAGACCACACCGGCCTACTTGGATCCTCTTCCTTCTCTTCGTAGATTATCTCTCGATATCGCTTTTCCCCCTTCGATGGTTTTCTCGACACCTTTCGGATAGCAATACACTTTTCTCTCTTCTTCTCTCCCCCTCTCTCTCTCTCTCTGTTTCTCTCTCGGCCTAAATCGACCACGAGATTCCCTACTATTTTATCCTCCAAGCGGTTCGTCCACCTTCGAATCGATTAAATTACACTAACGACGCGTCTCCCCCGGATAATTCGGCAATGACTTTGCTTCCGTGGCATTCTCTTCGTTATCGAGCAATCGGTCGCTCGACGACACGACGTTTATTCTCGGTACGTCGATTCCTTCGGCGATCTCGTCCTCTCACTTCTCCTCGATGAACATAACTTTTTTTCTCTGCTCCTCGACAAACACCAACTACGTACTCGCTTCGAACACCTCTACGGCTCGGACGTTTTTTTTCCTTCTCGTACCCGGCACTATAGTTGTATCACTGAACACAGAGCAGCCCCGGTGAGAGCGACCCGTGACCCGCTCGAGACCGTTTCACGAATCGACGACGATCGGTCATTCGATCGCCGCGAAACCTAGGAAACGCGTCGATACCCGCGCACACGACACGAATCACCGTACGCACTCTGTTGTGCGCGGACAACCCGCGCGAATATCGCCAATCCCGATGAAACTTCCGTGTGGATTCGTTCGAACCGTTTTCTTTTCGAAGCACTATCTATTATTTCCCCCTTGTCCGTGAGATTCGACGTCCCCGTGACCGGTTGGAAATTTTCAAGCAAACTCGCGACACCACCGTCTCCACCTCCGTGTCTCTCGTGTTCCTCGTCCGATCTAACTCCGCGTCTTATCGGTAACTCGCATATTTTACGCACTAGTTACGTCGATGGTGCTGGTTTCCGCGGCACCGCTCGCTCGGTATACGTTCGCGTGCCACGACGGCTCTCGAAACGGTAAAGCGTTGGTGGTATAATAACTGGCGGATTCGCGAGCAACGTGTGTGTCCCAAGCAAGTAATAGTTTCCCGTGCTCGTTCGGCCGTACCAGTGTAGCGGCACCAGTAGATTCGACTAGTCCGCGATCAGACGTTTGTCTTCCGCGGCTGGAAGACCGCGGTCGCTGCACTGGCTGCGCTCGACGGGGCTCCCGATCGGAGGCCAGAACAGCCCGATTCGACGACGCGGCTTCGTGGCACTGCGTCGAGCAGCGTAATGCGATTCGTGCGTCGTGCCGACTTTTGGAACACTGTGGCCGTGCCGCGGCCCACACCATACCAGCCGTAGTTCTCTCCGCGTAGCCGTGCGCTCGCTCGGCGATCTTCGGCCCGCCGCTTCGTCCTCGTCCTCGTCCTCGTCGACGTTGTCGTCGCTACGTCGCTGTTGCGTCGTCGCGCAGCGACGTCGGTCACGCACGCGCATTCTTCTTCGAGCCGCCGCCGTCGCCGTCCCCGTCGTCGTCGCTGTCGCCGCCTTCGCCATCGTCACCACCGTCACCGATAACCACCGAAAACCACTGCGGCCTACGACGTCGCGCTGCGACCGACGTCTCTCCCTCCTTGTCACCCCGTTATAACAACCTGTTATCGTTCCTTTGAATTTTCCAATTCTACTTGAATTACCCGAAACCGCTTGGTGAACTCGTACACCGATGAAAATCCTAAGTAAGTAGCTGTAATTACGAAACAACGCTAAACTCTCTGGCTCGTTGGAAAATCGCCGATGAATTTTCGTACCGGTTTCCTTTACTGGACACGTCCAACAACGTAATCTAATTGCATCTTTTCTAAAGCGCGATATGTTATGTCGAGAAAACTGCGTATGCAATAGCGTTTCCACGTTACGCGTTCGATCCGCGTTATCGGGATCAAATCAGACCCTAGATCATTCGAACTTTACCACCATCTACCAATGCTGAGCAGAAACGAGCGATGCCCCTGACAAGATGCAACCCTTGTATGTCATATGTCTGCACGAACGCGGCAACAACCGTTAGGCGTCGCGAAAACAGGCCGAAAAATTAACAGTGGCGCCATCCGTGGCAAACACCGTTAACCGGTAGTCAATTTATTACGTAGTTGTTGCACTAGACGGCGCCACCGTCGTCGGGCCACATACGTAAGTACGAAAATACGAATAGATACCTGTGAATAATTACCCCCTGAAAAGTAACGCAGTTTTGAAACTTGATCCCACAGCGATCCCTGAAACAGAAACTCAAAGGATTGCGATAAAACAAGTTTATCGACACGTCAACTTGGATAATTTCAAGTTTCATCCCACGACGAACCATGAAACACAAAATTAAACGATTAAGAACTTAATGTAACATCACTCTGTGCAGCTGTTTCAGCTGCTATGTGGTTCCGACAATGGTTCCAGCAATCTTTCGGGCGTATCATGAATCGTAACACTGAAACAAACCCGATCATTCCACGTCGCAACACTAATTCAACAAAACAAATGGACTATTTGAACCAATCAATATTGTAATTCTAATTCGATAGGATAATTTCAAAATAATCGAATTCGAGACAAAAGTCTATAATAAATCAAACCAACCTCGATTCATTTATAGCGCAACACTAATACAGCAAAGGAAAAATATAATCAATCGCGGTCAGTCATTATCGCAACATTATCTGGAAATATAAAAACTATATTTCAAAGTAACACTAATTTCTATCGCGATTTACCCAATAATGCTGATCTTGTTTGGCCGATATGCTGGCCAAAATACAAACTACTACTACTACTACTACAAGCGAGTACAGTGACAAAGTAGTAACGGAATGACTCCCCATCCGAAAGATAATGCTGATCTTGTTTGGCCGATATGCTGGCCAAAATACAAACTACTACTACTACTACAAGCGAGTACAGTGACAAAGTAGTAACGGAATGACTCCCCATCCGAAGATGCAGAGCCATTAGTAGTTGCCCTCTTCAATGACATTATTTTTGTCGGGCCTCTTCGGCATATAGCCTCTTCTTTTCTTCGACGGTCCGCCCACCTGAAACCCTGATACAGGTCGTACGTTTCGACGATCCTATCTGCCCGACCGCGATCGCGACGACGACCCCTTTGGAGTTCGCCAAATTTGAAGAATCGATGTCGAAACTGGAAGCAAACGATATGCTCTGCGTGGACCAGCTTCGAATCGACACTACAAATTACCCCGGTAGCAGACTATCACACGGAACCGAACTGCCTACCACCCGATCAGAGACTTTGATAGCCTGCCCCGGCCCCTGCCTACTTAGTCTAATCATGCCCTCACACACCAGAAAGTATACTACCTGCCTACCTAGCCTTATATTTAGAAAAAAATATAGCAAAAGACACATTCTCACCAACACACAACGCTCCACGGTTAAAAATTAGCCTAATCTTACACACTCCTAAGGTCTATAAGTACGTACCATTTTCCTGAAATCGACCGGCAAAGGCTAGCATCCATTGCGAAAATAGAAAAATTGCCTAAGCAACATAGTGTACGTATACTTGGTATACTTTATATCGATTATCTATTTTCATTTTCTCGTCTGATAACGAGAGATTTTAAAACAGTACATAGTCCATGGAAATTTCATTACAAACATTGTGTAAAACAAAGGAATATGTACGACCGATACCGGAAATTCTGAATAATTGTCCCAAGGAACAATTACATATGAAATATTAATTCATACAAATTTAACCGACGCAATTCCACTGCCTAACCACAACCACACACGCATAAGTGGAAAATACGTCGTGCACGGTGAGCTAACGCATTGCCAGTCGCATAGGCATGTTATTATTATGTGAAATCAAGCCATCGTGCACCGTTGCTCTCACCCAATCAAGTAGCACCTGAGCACGTGAAAGGATTTGAGCACCGAACACGGAATAATTATCCTGAAAATCCTGACTAAAAACTTTATTAGTTACTGCTCTTCTAACGGGCTAATATTCTTTAATTCTTTCTTAATTAATTGACAACAAAAATGGCTCAACTCTGTATTAATGAAAATTACCAAGTAAAGACTGAATATTCATTAATATAAACAATTTAATTATTAAGAAAAAGAATTGAATGGAAATTCATTTTAAGACAAAAAACTCTAATCATGATTCTGTAATAAGATATTTGACTCTATACATTGAACAATACTCGGGTGATCCCTTCGTCAAAACCAATGTAAGACACATAACATAAGTGTAACCGACATGTTGCTTCGACTCAGAAATCTACCCGTCGCGGGATGCCTTCTTGTACATGGTATGTAATAATTGTGTTTACTTATACAGAATGTTACATTGCAGCTCATTCTATATGGATCCTATTAATAGGATCTCCCCGTATCAAAACGTCTGAGATCAACAGCTCATGTTAAATAGAATACTTAAAGAAGCCGTGTCACGAGCAGTGCATCAAATTACAAAATATTTATCAATTGTATTACTTGTAGTGGCAAACGCGGTGAACAAGAAGACCCTACCCTAGCTAGAAAATATAACAGATGAGTGTTACTACTTGCAGGTATAATTGCATACCGACATTCACTGTACTCGCTTCAACATGTATACATATTAGTACATACAACCAGTCGCCCGTGCCGATTCGGCCCAATCGACCTACGGCATGATTGGGGACCAGAGGAACCAAAAAGCATGCGACTCACCCGATGATAGAAGGGCTCCTTTTAAGATTCCAAAGATCTGAAAAAAAAAGAAGAGAAATACGTTACAATCTCTTCTCAAAGTTTTACCTCTGTATGTCATAAAATATAAAGATACTTACTTTCCTTGATGGTGAAGCTTTGCCCGAGAACATCTTCTGTTTCAGTGTTCAGTGATGAAATATCTAGCTGATGAATGTAAGCTTTGCCCGAGGACTTACATCTTCGTGAGTGTTTATGAAATACGTAATTAATCTGAAAAATGGGAACAAAATTTGTTATTATCTCTTCTCAAAATTCTAACTGCTTCAATTGAATAGTGTACGTAATAAAATATAAAGATACTTACAATCTCTGTTGGTAGAGCTTCACCCAGAGACATTTTCTTCGGTGATGCACTGAGTCTACTATCACGAACAATCATTTTTAATTGGAAGTATAAAGAACAAAAAGAAAAAAGTATTAATTGCGACCATAGATTCCAGCCAGCGAACAAGAAATACTATTTTCGCGACTCAAAAAGCAAACAGTGTATGGACGCTTTAAAAGTAATTGATAATAATCAATAGACACTGACTCTACTTTCCCAAGAACCCAGCATCTCCGGTGAGATTCTACTCGGAGCCAATTCGCTCCAGTTAAACAAAAAAACTTCTACAATGCGAACACTGACTCTACTCGACCGCATTGCGCGCGATCACCAAATTCTCTGAAAGAAAAGTAGGAGTAAGAAATCCAATACTTCTGAGAAATATGACATCTTGAGTGATGAAATATAGGAAGAATCTAAACAAAAACAAACGAAATTCGTTATTATCTCTTCCCAAAATTCAAGCTGTTTAATTGAAAAATGTACGTTATAATATACATATAAAGATACTCACACTCTTTGGTGATAGAGCCTCATAAAAATATATTTTCCCCATTGTTCAATGACGCAAGGTATCAAAAAGCTGAAAAAAAGAAACAAATTCAACGATAAATATGAGCTTAAACATACAAATATGGCATTAACTACACACGAGTGATTAAAAATATACAATTTTAAAGTCATGTAAAATAATTCCTCAGTTTATGAATAAATAGTATTCATTAATGATGTATGAATATTTATTACTAATATATTATACTAATGACATTCGTTTTTAGAGTTGTAAGCATGCTTTTCCGTCTAAACCGCGTCCCGTTTTTTGTAAATATTCAGAAATTCATTGCACTTACCAAATTTCGCAATTTACTCATACTTGGCAGATTCTAAACTGTATATAAATACAAATACAATGTCTTCATAAAGATAAACATGTAAAATTATTAATATAAAAAGAAGTTTCGTGACCGGGCTACATCAGTAAGTTACGAGTATTTCCAATTTGAATGTCTGCAGATATTGACGTTTAAATTTCCTAACGGTAAAGGAAGCCATATTGAATGCTTCAACTACGCATTTGAAATGAAAATATTTCTTGAAAAAATTCTCGTTTAATCTTTGCACAGCAAATCACAAAATCGCGATCACAGTTTCAATCAAAAACAATAAAAACACGATAAAATGAAAAATATATCGTGAAATGTCAGATGTTTGTTATAATATATTACCAGAATTCATCGATTTCCCGCCAAATTGCGTCTGGTTGTGGCACCAGTAGCGCGCGTTCTTTCCAACCGTAATTCTGAAACATAAAATAAACGTTAATTACAAGTAATTACATTACATTAACAATGGTCGATTCACAAATAAACGATAATTGAGTCGAGGAGTGTGCCCACATGTTGCAATTTCAAGAAGAACTGCATAAATACTAATTGGTACAAGGTGGTTAATAGAAGCCGCGAAGACCGATTTACCCTTTCTCACGATATCGAATTAATTTAAGATTATTTGATTTAAACTGGATAAAAACTCAAAGGAAAGTAACAAAAGGGAATTAGTTAAGTAATTAACTACTTTAACTTAGTTCTTAAATTAAATGTTACCTACTTTGGCACGAGCAAACTGCTTCTACATCTTGTCACTCCAGCTTTCCCGAGACGAATGACTCTTAGGCTGTCTCTAACTCGTCACGATTGGTTGATTCGGCTATCTTACGAGGATCGTGATTAGTGGATCAGTAGATGAAGGTAAATCCTCTCCCCCCTCCAATTGCTATTGTAACAAAGTATAATATTCTCCGCCGTATTATACTTTCGTGTTACATTTTTACTGTATACATACGAAAATAGCTTAGATAACAGTAACCCCCATAATAGAGAAAAACAGAGGCACGAGCATGATTTCGCAGAAATCCCTGGGTTGTAAACTAATTTTGTCCCTCTGGCTGACCAATATTTTCGAAAACTCGCATTTCAATTTACTCTACGATTCATTGAGGAATTCAACTGCGTACATACCTCGATCTATCCGCATAAATGTGTTATTACAATTTGCTTTAGATGGAAAGCATCAATGTACAATAAATCACATATGTAGTATTTTTAACGTCCTTGTCTCGACGTTTTTAAACGTGCAATGCTTTCCTGAACGCCATCTGTGGTTTGGTTAATTTCCTCTCCAAGAAGCCAACTGGTTGTGGCATCTTTGGGTGACAGACTGAACTAATCCTGATATTTTGTATGTTTGGCGAGCGCGCGGAGGGGGTGAGGGCACTTCTAAAATAGATGACGCCACATGTCATTAATTCTGAAATTTAATATTCGAGAATTTAACGTATGCAACGTATGAACGCATAAGATTGACTAAAGGGAAATAAATTATATACTCCTAATAATTTATAATAATTGCTTGAAGGAATGGTTGTCCGTAGCCATCTAGTGACAGATTTTTCGTATGGCGTCGTTTGAGTAGTGCTTTAGAACCGCCACGTTATGGCTTTTTTTTTTTTAAACATTCGTAAACCTTGTGATTGTGCGGTTAACGTTGCATTTACAGCAATTTACAGTGTGCTGTACTCCAGAGAGTTTCAGTGTATTAATTTGTACCCCCGTCATAATGCAATAGCTTTGAAACGCGTAGAACGTGTTTTACTAAGCTGTACGTTTAATTTCCTGGAAATATTTCACTTTACGTGGCTTGAACTATAAAATCAGTCATATCAGTGCAAAGGTTAGATTCACTTAGAAGAAATCTTACCTGAGAATCAGATGCAAGTGTGACTGTGACAAGTAGCCACTGGGTTTACTTACAGGCAATTAGGCCGGGGACAAAATGGATAGTAGTAAAGTAGATGACGATAATCAACGTAATATTAATGACGGGGACTGGATTTGCCCCGATTCTCAGTACGTAATTTCTTAATGACATTTAACGTTCTTCGTTAATTTTTAAAAACCACATTACTCATTTTCCAAAACCCATCCAGCAGTGAATCATAAAACTGTTGTTTAATTACCAGATAGTGTCATTTTTGATATAAAAAAAATAGCTTAGCATCTAATAAATTATTAGATCGATAGAATAATCAGTAATAGTCATCACATTGTACCGTTTATATTATCTTTGTAATATTTTTAAAGTCTTATTTTACACATCATTGTTTTCAAGTAGTTAGCAATTTAATGTTACAGGTGTGCAAATGTAAATTTTGCAAGAAGAAACTCTTGTAATCGTTGTGGAAAAGGTATATGATATTTGATATGGTAATGTATGAAACAATTTCTTTAATAATATTGCTTAAAGTAATATTGTATCAATAATTGGTTAATAATATCTGGAGTTAATTGCTGTTTTGCTAGAATCAAGATTCATACATTATGCATTATTATTAACAAATACTTATTCTGATATAGATAGAGGAGAGTGTCCTAAAAAAAAGAAATTGGGTCAAGAAATTGGAAAAGCAGCTGCAGAAAAAAGCAGAGGCTTATTCAGGTGAATATCACACATTTATACATTATGTAGTCAGTCCATTGAGATAATATCTTTATCCTGTATTAAAATCTTCTCAGCTTAAACATTACCTTGTATGTTATGTATTTTCAAGAAATATTCACAAATAATAAATAACAGAAATCAGCAGATAAAGGTAAATAACTTGATGTTAAAATTTTCGTTAATATTTCAGCGCTGATGATTGGCAATGTAGTAAATGTGGCAATGTAAATTGGGCTCGCAGACAACAATGCAATATGTGTAACGCACCGAAGTTTGGTGAAATTGAGGAGCGTACAGGATATGGAGGAGGTTACAATGATAGAGGAATTGTTGAGTATAAAGAAAGACGAGACGACGATGATGATTATGACGAATTCGGGCGTCGTAAGAAGAAACGGAAAATTGAAAATCGCTCAGATGACGATTCGAAAGATTCTAGGTATAGCAGCCCTGTACGAAATAGACCGAAAAATGAAGATCAGAGAAATGTTGTTGAGGGTGAAGATCATAATGAAGAAAACGTAATGTTTTTCCGAATTGTTGAACTAATTCGAAAAAAAAACGAAAAGTTGTTGATAGAATATATTTACAATTTTAGGAAGAAGGCGAAGAGGAGGACGACGATGACGAAGATGGAGATTTGTCCAAGTACGATCTGAGCGAGTGGGATGACTTTGCAGTAAAGAAAAAGTAAATTTCCACAACTAGTAATATTCTTATACAATTACTATATTACACAATATTAATTTTTAGTACAAACGGAAGCACACCGTCCTCAGAGGAGCGATCAAGGTAATCACGATAAGAAATTAAAAAGAAAGTAACCGTAGACTATCTAAGTAGAATTTCGTAGAAGTTTACTGACATCGTTGATGATAATTTCTTTATTATTAATTAAACAAGTCAAAAATGTATAATGTACTCTATTGCCAGGAAGGTGTTAACAAATGAATTTTATACAGTATTTGTAACGTTTTTACAGAGATAAAGACGATTGGCGCGATTCGGGTACATCCAGTCAATGAGATGCTGCGCAGAAGGAAAGGTTTGACTTGGGTTTCGGGTATAAAATTGATTGTGACAATGAATTGCAATTACACGATTGCTTTGTATCTTTAGAAAGTGTAATCTTTACTATATTCTATTGTAGACCAGTAGATGTTAGATTCTAAAATGGCATGGTCAAAGAGGAAGATATATAGACTTAACAAAACCTGAGGGGGTTAAAACTAGAATCGCTTGTTAAGTGAATGATCTTTTTACAGGTGAGAGGAAACCCCACATGAGCGAGAATTTCTTGGTGAAACTTAAAGAGATTCATGCGACGTGAGAAATTTAGTGATTTAGTAAGCACCTTTGGATAAAGTGATGATGGACAATATTATGACTTATTGCAAAGGGAATCGATTAACAATAAGCTTTACATTTTTGTGATTGAACCTCATAGCTTCGTTGACTCAATGGATGGAGAGTGAAAATGTAGGTTAGCTATTTGCGCAATATTGTTTTAAAAATATTGCATCTAGTAATATGGAGAGTCGTAAAAAGTACTTGGCGCAGGTAGAACGTTTCGCTAGTGAAGAAACTAAAAGTCAGAGAAAAAAAAACGATACGAAAAATGTAATTCTAATTATAACTCTATGGACGATGTTATGCGACTCGTTGTACAATTCTGCATTACGAATTCGTAGAAGAAATCTTATTTCTAACTAATTCAAACGTATCAAGTATCCGTAAATAGCTCTCTATCATCGCCGCATCGTTAAGACTTCTAATTATGATATCACAAACGCACGACGCCCTGGTAATCACGATTCGCTTTAAGATTGCCTCAAGCTGCTTCGACAAAAATTACTTCCTTTTCATTTCTTTCATAGTTTATTTCTCTCGCTTCTCTCACTTTCACTCTGTCTCTTTCTCTTTCTCTCTCTCTCTCTCTCTCTCTCTCTCAGTCTCTCTCGTTTTCTTTTTCCACGCGTAAAACACTAACAGTTAAATAAAATGTAATGTAGTATTAAAAAGAATCATTCCCTAATGAATACAGATATGTATTTGATGTCTTCGGAATGAAGAGAAAAAGGATACACGTTCTTGCTTTGACTATCACAGATCCGAGTAAGCTGGAAGCAGCCTGCTTAATTGAAAGATATAATGACATGAGATTTTCTTTTCACCATGTCAAGGCCTGCGCTTATCCACAACAGGCTTGAAAACGGTAAATATATCGAGACGAAAAAGAATCCTCCAACGCCCGCACTCAAATACCGCACCACGAGAACCCATTTATCGATCAATTTTGATGTACTGACTTCTTGTAAATATCTTTATTTTTCATTTATAATAAAAATCATTCATCAACAACATAATTGTTCTTAGTCAGTTACTCTTGTTTTTACCTTATTTATCATAAACTACATGGGGTCATGATTATGCACAGTTTTATTGGTCACGTGGGAATCGACGAGGGGAGAGGAGGTGAGAAGGGACGGGTGATACTGCAAGGAGTATGTTGCAACAGGTATATATAATATATATATAATATATATATAATATGTATATCGTATATATGTACAATTATGAATTTGAGCTTGCTTGACTGCGTTTCTTTTTGTTTTTTTTTCTTTAAGTATTCAGTGATAAAAAGGAAGGATGATGAATGGCGTATTTACCAGCGTATTCATTCTCGCTCCTTCGAAATACTTTTTTCTCTTGATTCTCGCACAATTACTTTATCACGAGTAATTATTTGAACGATAAAGAAAGAGGAGATACAATGTATATGTTCGATTTTGTTTTTCTCCTTTTTTCTTCGTTTTTCTTCGTTTTAATAATCCATGGAGTCTAGAAACGTTTTCGGATTTCTCTTTAGTTACTACCGTATATTCCGATCGACGAAACAACGATCACTACGAAGAAACCGGATTTTACATTAGTATTTACACGATCGCATAAACAACGTGCGTTACGCGACTATTTTTCTCTTTTCTCGTGAAAGTTCCAAATTTACAGAGAGAAAATTCTGATACGAAAGAAAAACAAAACTCCCCTTAAAAGGCGATTCAGAACGGATGTTCGGAAACACGAGGTGTTCGATGAAATGATTTGATCGTCTTCAGTTTCGAGAAACGCTTAATGGTTACAACGTGTACAGAGAAACAACACCGTAAACAAAGAATTGAACGAGAAAAGCGTCTTCTCGTCGCACGCCAGTCGATGTAACCACTACGATGAAATGGTTACGCATAATTACTCTTGATAATTAATACATCAACATTAGAACCTTAACAAAGTCGACATGTCTGTCCTTTACAAGATCGCTTAATTTAATAATAAAAGTGTACACTCTCCAGAAATATTTTCATACTCGACATCGGATCAGGTCCTGTCCTCAGTTAAACGCAATTGTCGAAAGGACACCAACAAAGGCCACCACAATCGTAATCATCGCAGTTACGATATATCTTTCCTTTCATACCCACACACTCGTAAACGCACATGCGCTCCCCCTCCCACGCGCCACTCTCTCGGCAACTTACTCTTTCTCTCTCGCTCTCTCACGCACCCCCCCCCCACCGCATTCTACCACTCGCTCGCTCACACTCTCTCTCGTTCTCTCTCTCTCTCTCTCTCTCTCTCTCTCTCTCTCTCTCTCTCCGTCATACACACGTTTTATTTGGGCATAAAGAACTGCTGATGCGAATGTGAATTCGGCGGTGGATGTAAATTAGGATGCGGTGGCCCACTACCCCTAGTACCGGTGGCGTATAACTGTTGTTGGAAGTTATGGAATTGTTGAGCATAATTTGGGTCCGACATGCTAGGTCCACTACCAACGAAAGGGCTGTTTTTAAAATTACTAGTAGCACCACCCATGCTTGGTGGTAGTGGTTGAGTCGCGTCAGGAGGAGGTCCTAGACCCATCGGGCTGCCTTTGCTGCCGGACACGTACATACCGGGGTTGGGTTGATTGGGAACTTGCGACACCATCTCGGGTGGGAAGACTTTATCTGGATCCATTGAACTTCCTGGAAAGACTCCACCCCCAACCATGTGCTGCATTCTCATTAAGTTTGGCTGAGGTCTCATGTTGCCGACAGGTCTCATCGAAGGATGCACACCAACTGACGTATTCATGGATTGTCCGTCCATCCTTGGTGAGCCTCCCATACCAGGAATACCACCACTCATGGTTGACGGCATGCCACCGTGCGGGCCCATACTATTTGGTACACATCCATTTGGGAAGTACTGAAGATTTACAGAGGGTGTGCCCATCTTTGATTCTAAATTAGTTAAAGGATTTGTGAATCGTTGAAGGAAGTCCAAACTCGGCGGTCCTCTGGGTGTATGACCAACGTTGGGTCTCGCTGGTAGATATTGTATTGTGTTCGGAGCACTAGGTTTCACTTGAACATTTGCTCCGTTGTAAGGACTAGGACCAGCAACGTGTCCTGTCATTAGTCTCGGTGGTGGTGCATGGGGATCGCCACCCGGATACGCACCGCCTGCATTACCCGAATGGCTACTCATCATGCCGTGACCCATTATGGGGTGCCCCATTTTACTAGGTACCCCAGGACTTCCTGTATGCGAAGTGGTTGGACTGTAGCTAGTCGGTGGTCCAGGTAAACCCATGCACATTCCTCCTACTTCGCCTGGTTCGCTAGCGGGACCACCCATGTGGCAATTTCCATTCATCTCGCTGCCCATTTGCATCATGTGCATACCGTGTGGGTTACCGAACTGCATCATTCCGGTGTTACCGGAATGAATAGAACCATCGTTACCCAGTGAATTACTAGTTGCTGTGTTGGTGAGTTGCTGACTCATTTGAGCCAAGGAAGTTATAGGGTCAAAGTGATTTGTACTCATGGCGGTCAAACTGCCGAGTCGCCCTCCGATATTGTTGGGATTTAGAGGCACATTGTCTGAAGGTTGACTCACGTTTATAGAAGGTCTTCCGCAAGGAAACGAGGCGGCAGTGCCTCCACCTAACGGAGGCACTACTGTTGTGTTTCCAGAATTATTGGAATTCACTACTGTAGACTGTTGTTGCTGTGGCGGTTGTTGCTGCTGCGTTTGCTGTTGCTGCTGTTGTTGTTGTTGTGATTGTGGTTGTTGTTGTGGTTGTGGCTGCTGCTGTTGGTGTTGCTGTTGCTGCTGCTGTTGCTGCTGCTGATTCTGGGGCTGCTGTTGTGGATTATCCTTTGTTGATGGCGGAGATGTGTCGGGTTTTGTAGTAGGTGATGCTGGTACTGTTCTTGGAGGACCCATACTGTCTGGTATGTTTGTATTGTGTGGTACCGGACTACTTTGTGCACTTGCGCTTGACTTGTTGCCGGGTTTCCCAGGATCTACTGGAGTATGAGGAGCACCGTTACCCGGTGTGTGTGGAGTATGAGGAGTGTGTGGGCTGTGCAATGAACCTGTAAAACCACGGTTCATACTATCCATCTGAACTGGACTTGCACCTTCAGATCTAGCAGCATACTGATTGCTGTTATCCATATTTCCCGACAAAATTCTGTTCGGTATATCTGTATTGCTGGCGGTGTTTCTGAAAGACGAAAATTCTGTTAAAGAACCACCAATAAACAATTATTCCGAATCATCACTAAAAACAAGTACACGATTGACTTACGTGGACAAATTGCCATCCTTCAAGCTAGTATTCGGCTGCTTCTGTATAGTCAACTCCTGCCCTTCAAACGTGTTAAGATACTGAATTTGTTGTGGACTCGGAACAGGCATCAAGTTCGCTTCCTTAACACCCGCTGCATTCACTGCTCCAGTGTGTTGTTGCTTTTGCTGGGCTAAGGATTGCAGCGTGCGGCAAAACATACCATCCACTATGTTGTAACATATAACATGGTCAATCCACCGCATAATACAACAGCAGTGAACTTTTAAAATATTCTATATAATATCACAGTGTTACTTAGTTCTTGTATCAAAATCCTTCGAGTGCGATTTAATGTGAGATATGTTATTGAATGTATTTTAAAGACAGTAAACTTATTACACCGATTCGCTGTATTTTAAAGACAGTAAACTTATTACACCGACGAAGACGTTATTGTTTTTACTTCTAGACTTACCATTAGGTGGTTGACTGGTAGGGAAGTCCAAAGATGAATCCTTTTGAGCAGTCGTTCCACTTGGACTAAGCGTCGAAATGTGCGAGTGAGAAACCGGTGTGCCTGGATTACTGTGGTTTAGTCTTGTCGTTGAAACTGCGGTTGCGTTACCAACTGTCGGATTAGGGGAATCCTGACTGGTCGGACTTTGTCCTGGCAGGTGATTCGTTCTCTGATTGCTGAGTTGGAACTGTCTGTTGCAGTCTGCTGGTGAATTTAGTGCTGAACTTGCACGAGGCGACGGTAACGACAAATTACTAGTGGGATTATTAGGTGACGAAGGATTTGGACTTTGTATTGCGATTGGCACACTTGCTGATCGAGTTGTTTGATGATATGGCGGTGGTGGTCCTTGACTTCTAGGAACTCCAACCATTCCAGCACCTCGTAATGAAACACCGGTACCAGGACTTCCTACACTGGCCTGTAATATATACCAAAGTCAGATATTCGAATCGGGTATCATATTCCAAATCAGTTTACCTTGGTTTTTCCATCAAGAAACTGGTGCTGTAATTTATGCCAGTCCATGCTCGGCGGACACTGTGTTGATACAACTGAAGGAACATTTGTTGGAGGACACGATGATACTGCTTGTGTTGTTCCTTGTGTTGCATCTAACGAGTTCGTAGGTTCTTCTTTATGCTCAGGAAATAACATCATTTGCATTTTCCTTATGGTCGCTAATTGAACTTCTCTATGCTGCCTTTGTTGTGGGGTTAAATTTTCATCCGGAACTTTAACACCTTGCAAAGATGGTTGCAGACTCCCTGGACCTGGACTGGTACTACCTCCTAATAAATTGGGACTGTGGCCCATTGTTGTACTATTAGGTGGCTGTGGATTTGCTACAATAAAATTATGCATATTTCATAAACATAAAATATCAATTGTATTTCATTTTTAGATATATGACCAATTGATATATCAAGTGTATAATTACCTGAATTACCAGGTGAATTTGGTACAAGGCAAGGCACATCTATATTAGCATCATCCAGTGATGGTTCAGAATTACCGAGAGTGTTCCCACCATTCAAGTTTCTTAAATTAGGTTGTTCATTCCAGAATGGAGGAGCATTAGGATCTATAGCTGGTAGGTCTGGAGGTTGTTCTGTTGGAAAAGTATTATTCGTACCTCCTTGATGACCTTTCTGTTTCATCATAGCCAGATTGTTTAACCATTGTGCAGGATTCTGTCGAAACTGATTTACTTTATTTGGGTGTTTCTAGAATAATAGAATTAAATTTTTATATTGACAAATATCAAGATAATAAGAACAAGTCCTTAACCCTCTATATATGCATACCTCTAAATACTTTTTAGTGCCTGGCTGTGCACAATGATAAGCAATAATTGATGGATATTGCCCTTGCAACACTGCATCTGCACCCTTGTTTGCTAATGTTGTAGAAAATACAAAAATTTGACTTTGTTGTTGCATGTATTGAGCTTCACCGCTTCCTGTACTAGTTCCCATTTGTTTTCCAAGAACATTACTAACTAATGGCTGAATTCCATCTCCAGAGATCACATTACCACTACAATCTAGAAAGAAACAAATAAAACATAATTACATGAAAAGAATGGCAACCTGGCTGATTAACTGAAAAACTTAAAGATTATAATTGAATTCAGAACTTAAAGTAAATCTATCAGTACCGGGTAAATCATCTGTGGGATTATTATGATCTCCTTCCTGTTTCACTGAATTTAAGATCGGTTGATTCGTGTTATTTTGATTTTCTCCTGGTAACGTACTGTCCCCGTTAGTAGAATCCAGGCAAGGGTCTCGTGGACATTCTGTTGTGTCCTCTCCAGTTGTATCATCATTGTTGGCTCCACCACCTTCTTCCTTGATTTTGACCGGATCTGTATCAGGCTCCTCTTTCACAACAGTAGTAGGCACACAACTCGGTTCACTGGGTTTCTTTTCTGTTTTCATGTTTGGAGGCTGCTTGTCAATTATCCTGTCAGACGTTGGTCAGCTGTATAAAAATCAGACGCATGGCCACTACAGTCCGCACCGCGCGGAATAACGACGCACACGAAACGTTGATTGAGGTTAACAACAGGAATATCGTTGACCGGTATCGTGGTGCAAGTGTGTCCTCACAGAACGGTGCACGATAGCCTTCGCGTGGAAGTCATATCTGTGGATCTGTTGATTCTCACGAAACGTTCTGGTGACCGTCGCTCCCGTACGTTTTCAGTCATTTAATCCGGGCCAACCGCGGAATCGGATTCCTACGTATGGAGGAATCTCGGTTGTCAGCGGCCGACTGATACAGGAACACGATAGCCAAAACCAATACCCACGGAGGTGGTAACGATGAAAATATTCTAAATGTCAGCCTCGTCTCCGCAGCAAGTACATAGCGCGCCTCCGGCTTTAATGTCGTTGGGAACACTACGATGTAACCGCGTAAGATGTGTCCAAAACATAGAACGGGGGCCAATGCACGCTGCACTCAAATTTCCTTGCCATTCGCGAGCATTGTTCTCCAACTTTATTTGTCACTTCATGGTCGCTTTGATTATTTATTTCTTTTACGCACGGCTGCCAACCACCCGTCGAAAGTTAGACATCGTTTTAATGCGCCTCGAGACGACAAGGAGCGACTTATTCTTACCCGCGCTCGATAGAGAAGGACCGAACTAACAGCGCATCCAGCCGTACTTGACTCGTTCCCTTACACTCGATTGCCCGCAGGGTTACTATTTTAGTCTTTCTTTGCTTGTATTTTCACCATTCTTTCGCACCTTTATCGTGAGTATCCACATACCGAACGCGCATACCTTTGTCCGTTCCGCGCCACCAACACGGACTTATATTTCCACGCCGATATCTCCCTAGATACCAGGACACCGCATTTATTTTACCCACAGAATTAAAACTATGTGAAAATTAAATTTCGAATACGCGAAGAGACAGGGACAAGAGACTATCGGCGCCAGTGCCACTGTTCTTTTAACTCTCGTTACTTTTTACTGTATGCGGCGGAACGACACCGTTCCGTATATGGTTATAGTTTCAAGGCGGTATTTTTAAAATCAATTTAAAAAAAATGCAAATTCGGGTTAAAAATTTAATAATTATTTGTAATTTCTTACTGTAAGTATTCAAGTTATAACTGCAGATGGGTAAATACATCGTTACCCTTGATTGAAAGAACATGAGGAGAAGAAGACCGAGATTATCGTAAACTTGTTAGAATTGTATCATTCCCATTTAGCTTGGTTTGAATTAAAGAAAAATTTTTTGTATATTAATTTTTCTTAATTGATATCTGTGAATACGAATCGACAGATTTTCTAACTGTATTATATAAATTCATCGCACCTATTAAATGCAATACAAAAGATAACAGGTAAATACATATAATATCAGGGAGTGTGTGTGTGTTTTTTTAACATTAATTGCAGTCACGTAATTTATACGAGATAAATATAACCTACAGTATTTTGTAAGATTCATAAGAAATGTATATAATGCAACAAAGAATTTATATCAATATTTTCATACCTCACAGGTTAAAACAAAATTATTGAACCATGTCACAGTTTGAGCTGGATCCTCAATTTACCCAAGGTTTACATCTTTTACATTCCACTAATAAAGATTCAGCAGAACAACTACGAGTACTCTTGGATGAGGCAATTAAACAGAAATATGGACCATCAAAAATGTTGTCCAATGTGTTGCACAAAAAGGTAATTTATACTAGTGTAATTGAACAAGGTGTATTCCTTACACTGTCGGAAGTATTATTTGAACTAAATTGATCAATATTTACCAAGATATATTTACGGATTTAGTTCCGATATCAGGACACTTGTGAAGCGTAGAAGATATAATTTACAGAAAAAGATACCCAGTAATTGATCCTTGATATAACACAATCATTATTCTGTATTTTTTGAACTAGTGTTCCTAGATTTTTTGGATTTTCAGTACATGATGGAAGAACCAGTGCTAAGTGATCATAGCAGCAGCAGCAGTAGTAAAAAAAGCAGAAGCTCTGGATCTTCTTCCAAACATTCGAGCAAATCCAGTAAAAATAGTTCCCCAGTGAATCTGCCAACACGTGACACTCCACCTATTATACAGACTGATGACACATTAGCGTTAGAAATATTAGAGGATGACTTGACCTGTGTCATTTGCAAAGGAATGGATGTTGGAGCACGGAACAGACTTGTAGAATGTTTGGAATGTCATTCTTTGTATCACCAAGAATGTCACATTCCACACATTTTAGACTCACAAATAGATGTTCCAGAGCTGACATGGTATTGCTCAAATTGTTCCAAATCTCAGGTGTGTGTATTCACTCACATTATAGCTTATGATTTCCTCTTGTATCTATGATTACTTTCCTTATGTTTGTTTAGAACTAATAAATGAACTGTAAATTATAAATAATTATAAATTACTCCTCTTCTAATTCATAGATCTCAAAAGAAAGGAGTTCACCAAAAACAGTAACAGAAAGCAAGTCCAAAGAACAGAAGAAATCTAATTCGAGTAAGTTTGATGTTCAAGTTATCCATAAATACATATATTCATCTTGAATTTATGTCTCCTTTTATTTGAGTAGGTGCAGGAAATAAAGTAACACCTAATATTCATATTATAAGTGCAGACAGGAGATTAAAGGACATGATGAAAAAAGCAAAGCAAGATAAACGAAGTACAAATACCACTCAAAGTTCAAAGAATTCCTCATCCAGTTTGCCAGCACTGTCTTCAACAAAATCTCAGGAGAAGTCCTTATTATACAAAATTAAGTCAGGTGTAGAATGAAATTCTGCTCTATACGATAATCGTGACAATATTTTATAACACAGAAGAAATTTAAACGAATTTTATAATATCAACTTTATGAGACGATTATAAGTGCTTAGCTAATTGGACTATAATAGCAATTTCGATGACTATTGGTAACATAGTTAACAAAACACTAATATTGTTTTATGCCAATGAGCATATGAGTAATCATTAAATAATGAATATTAACTTTATATCCAGCTACACACAACGTTTCCAAAAAAAGTCTAAGAACCGTGACGCATGATGTGATTTGTTATGATAGTTTTTAAAGCTAGAAGAATAGAATTTTTGGTACAGATGTACGTTAAATTTAAATACAAATATAGTTCACATGGAAGAAAGTTTTTAAACATTGTAGTCGGTCACAGGTTTTTCAAGAATCAAATTCATTTATAATACCAATATATTTTTGCAATTTTCCAAATGCTTATTTGTTTGTCCCTACGTCCCATTGAAAATTTGGCAAGAGTCATTTCGTTCTCGATTGTTACTTAAAACCTACTTATATGCGAGATGGGGGGTTGAGTACTATTTACAGAGGGGTTGCATTTTCCACGCACGCACACACACATCGACAAATTCTCAATCGCGCAGCACACGTAAAGCAGTGATGTACACTTTCAGTATAAACGATTTGATAAACCCTTAAATGAAATTATTTGTACAAACAAAAACATGTATACAATACAAATTATTAATATACAAAATCATTCAGTTACGTACTTCTGTAACAAGGGTAAAGATTAAATAATTATACAAGTTCTTTTCCTGTCAGTACTAATGACTCATTAAAAGCTTAAGGGTTTATCATATCTTCACCATTACCTACACATACACGTTATGTATAAGTAGGGCACATAACGAGAAAAAGATACATTCGAAATTCGCGGAACAAAGACGCGCCCGCTTTATGTATTATTTTCATACACTTGGATCCTGGATATGAATACACTTAAGTCTATTCTTCCAGGGCATAATCATCCCCCCATCGTTTTCGAAGCCTTAACAGAGAATAATTTTAACTCGACGCAACGTTCGGATCAGCCTATACTACGAAGCATAACGTACTAATCGACTCGTAAACCGCTGAACATTCTTTCAGTTTAATTACAATACAATACATACGTTGAATGCGGAATTGACAAGCTTTTCAGATGGATGGAGTTAATTGTCGAGCGTTTACGAAAATCGGGAAATTCTGCTACTATTTATACAAATTTCAAATGAATTTCTATATTTCTGAAACAATGAGGGATTTAACACAAGATGACGTTTGGTATAACTTAAATGAGTGACCTCTTATGAAGCTTCAAGTTACTCTAAGGCGATATCATAATTATATAAGTAAATTCTTTCTTTTTCACCGGATAAACGTTTGTTCAGAGTTAAAACATTTGAGGAAACGCAGCAGATTTTCATCGAAATTTCTATGTGCATACATGCGTTAAAAAATGTAGCGTGTTGCACAGGGCATTCCCATCGAATTGCGCTCGAACGTATGATGTACTTCGTGTACTGTACAATATATTTTGTGTAGACCTCTGAAATAAACGATCATTTAAGAATGTACCGCACACTTGTTACGAATCATTCGTGCTCTGATTCTGTTATAAAGCAACCAAATGCGTGTGCAAATAAGTCCGCACGTATATAAGCGTACGTCAATCTGAACTATACACAACAATATAAATTGAACATTTTTTATATCTTCGGAACAATTGATCCTTACATTGTGGACGTAACATGCTGATTTTCTTCATCATAGACAAGTTAATTGTAAATTACTTGAAAAATGTTTAATGTTTCATGGAGCTCAAATCCTTTTTGCATATTATTCTGTAACATAAAAATGTTGCATTATTATAGTAATGCCAATAGAGATTTGAAAACATTTCTTGGAATGTATACATATTGTCTCCACAACTTCGGGGGTTGCAATAAATCAGAATTAAAATAGTGTAGTATAAAAGGTGAGACAAGTAGCTCTTAAGTAAGAGAAATGATTTTCAGACTAAAATCTCACTTTATTAAGTTCTGTATTGTTTTCGTTAATTGTTAAATAATTTCCTAGTGTAGCTTTCTGTAACTACTTATATTCTGTGGGCAAAAAAATGTTATAGTAACTTAATGATGAAGTTAAGAAAAAAATATTTAATACAGTTTACAATTAAACTGTATATAAAGAATACATCATTTGCATAATACTTTAATTTAACATAAATATTCGCGTTACGAGATTTAGAATATCAGACTTATAGAACCAAGTTCATTACTTTGAATGAAAGGTAAAAGTTATTTTACAGATTATAATTTCATTCAATGTAGGAAGACTATCTAACAGTACAATACAATCGAAAGGAATACAAGTTTAGTGTGAACACTACTTGCCAGAATATTTTATTTTACAAATGATATTAGAAAAAGGAAACGACTGCACGTCCAATGTGTTCCAAGATTTTGAAAAGACAAGTGTTTCTTTCAATCGTCTAAAATTCCTATATATTCAGTATGAATTTTACTCTACACACGAAGTAGAAGAAGAATACACTTGATGCATTTATAAATATAGTCAGTGTTTTCATCCGTACCTCTATACATTCATTTTTTATACAAGACTGCAATATACTTTGCTTACTCCTCTTACAAATAAAGCTGTGTAAGACGTAAATATCGTTACTTGACGAATGATTGAGGAATTCGAATTAACACAGTTTAGTTTCAATTTCTTAATTTGGGTCAATTAGATGCAGTCCTATCTTCTATGTATGTACCTATATTATTGGAACATTAGCATCATTCAAACCGAAAAAGTCTGCTTTATGTATTGTACATTGCATTAAATTATAAAACAAAATTATCATTATATTCTCTACAATAAACTAAGCGTACAAACAAAATATGTTCAACAAATAAGAATATTCTGCAAAGTAATATCCCATTACTTACAGTACACCTACTTTAAAGTCAATATACAAAAGAATTTTAATTAATTGCTTACGAGCAACTACTTTAAATACATATAAAAAATGTTTAAAATAAAATAGAAATGATAACAGAATGAAGTTATAATTTGTCACAGATTCAAAAGGTGCTCCGAGTTTGAACAACTTATTCATTCTGTTATTATTCCTTCGTCGCTCGCAACGAACACTTTGCATGTAATGTTCACTGGAATTATATAGTGTATACAAAATTAAATTATTATATCGCTTCCAGTGTGTTATTCAAATGTTTGAAATACCTCAGTAGTAAGTTTTTGTCTGCATGTCTGAGAAACTTAAATGAAAAATCAAGAAAATTGCAGCACGTATACTGACATATGGAAAAAGAAACCAAGTACACGAATATGCACACAGTCTTAATATGCAAGTTTCATGCATACATATATGAATGAGAAATAACACGCTACATCACATAGGACAGATTGACGTACAATTCCCCATGAAATTAATTTGTTCATCATAATATAAACAAATACAATACGCATAATAAAAACACACACGGGTTGGTGGTCAGGAAAAGGAAATCTGGGGGCCTGTAGAGTAGTTGACACATACACGAGAGAGCGTTAATTAAGTACAAGTGTGAGCGTGTCCCCAGTCTTCCCAGACCTACGCTGGCAAGTTGTCAAATAATTATTTTCTTTGCATATTTAATTGAGTGGTTAAATAGGTCTATTTGAATTTAAACAGTTTGTGAAAGCGCATGGAGAAACTTGGCAGTGCGCAACGGGCAGTGAATTCAATTATATAATTCACTTGGAATAATAAATAAGTATACCGGAGACAATGGCCCCCTAAAAATGCAACATTAAAAATCAGACAGTCTTATGTGAACGAAATAATGAAAATGTAATTTCAAGAAATACTGTTCGTCGTTGTGTATTGTTAACTTTTGTTTCTTCGATGCGTTCGACCTGAGACATTGAACAAATCGGAAAAACAGTAAACATTGACGCATAAAAAATTGGTTTTCTCCTTGATAATTCATTTTGAACAATTAAAGAAACCTAAAGATTCTTTTACCGATGTCACATAAAAGATCGCCTTTTTGTGCTTATTTAAATGAGTTTTACGCTTAACAGGATGCGACAATAACCATTGTTGAATTGTACGTATATAGATAATACAACTTAGCGATAGTAAGAGCAATAATAGGTATAATTCATAAAATAGTTGTAAAGTCATCGTGTGATCGACATGATAGTCTTAAAAATCATAGTAACAATCGTACTTATACGTGTAATAATGTAAATTAAATAGAAACAGGTTCGAATAAACAAACAGTACTAAGAACGAAGAACTTTTTTACGTAATCAATTTACGTAGATAGGCCTAGAGACGTGAGAGCATCCCCTCGTAATTCTTAATTTTTAATTCTTTTCTTCACTTTAACATTATTTTAATTGCCTTAATTTAATATTCTTTTACTCTCTCTGAAAGGGATCGTCGTCCCAACTTATAATACATATATAGACCCTCTCTATATAACTAGCTCACTACAATCTGTGGTGGAGGTGTACGTTGCGTGATCTTTGCTCTCTCTCTCTCTCTCTCTCTCTCTCTCTCTCTCTCTCTCTCTCTCTCTCTCATATTAATAATTGTATATATCGTAATGAAGATAGTAGGCATAGCCACTCGTGCTCGGATCACAGACTACTCGCTGTCGTACTCCCTCTGTACAGACAGTCTGGTGGACACTATGGCTTTTTCACTTACTTTTACACAAGTTATTTTCTTTATACGTTACGTTATCTGTCCCGTACTTACGTATACACGTATAGACATTCGGCCAACAAGAAACTGAAATCGTTACTTTTCTCATTCCTCTCTTTCTCCTTTGTAATAAGTATATTTTCACGAATCTGCATCTCAAATCCTTAAACGTGTACACGATCAATACTTAGCATACGCCATTGAAAATATATGTATAGTAAAATAAATGAAATATACAATATTAATAAAAACAGATCAGGTTTAAGGGTCAGAGTCGCATTATCTTACCGTCTGCTAATATCTGTACGTGTGCACGAGCGTATTTCGATACGGCCATGACCATAGAGACGCAAACACTACACCAGGACTAATTATCCTGCAAAACTATCGCCTGACTAGCCTTAACGAAATCGCACGTAATTACGGCATTGTTATTCACACGGTGTGTAGATTTGTACATATGTAACGAGGTGTATCTGATGCATGAAGTGGAGGCACTAGTCAGTGTTTTTGGAGAGATTGACGGGTCCTGGGATGGCAGTGAGGAGGTTGTGTCAGCAGGCACTGGTTTCTTCACCCTCGAGTGTACACGCCACATTCTCTAGCCTGTGGGCTAGATGTAATTTACGACAGCCCGCGTCTGTCTCCAAGGCCTCTAAGATCTGTGAAACAGTTCATGTATAGTTAAAGTTAGATTTAGTAGCAGCAAATATACTTCTTGCTGGATCTTACTTTTTACATGATATCAAATTACAACCAATGTAAGATCTCTATTTATCTATCTTAAGACAAGTAAAATATAAATTCGTATTTTTCCTATATGTACAATAAGAGCCTTTGTTTTGAATGTACTTACTTGTTCGTAATACTTGCTGACATAGATGTAAAGTTCTTTCAGTGCTGCAATCACATCGAATTCGTTTGCATGCGACGCACTTAACTGTTGCATGGCACTAGACATTTCTTGATCAGTAATTTGAGGAAGTCTCTGTACATCTGTGTAAAAACGACCTACTTTCTCTCGGTAGTGTGGTATGTCTTTTGCAAAGAGTAACTTATTAGAGGGCGAATCCTTCCCTAGCCTATGCTCTGTCATCGAACACGAATCCATAAACGTTTGTGCTATCACGGACAGGCTGGAATCGACGGTCGTAGATTTATTAATATCAAACATGAAGTCTGGATTCTTAATAAAATTCACCCAAAACCTAAGCGGTAAACTATTCGACTTCCATGCGTGGGGCACTTCCGGATCCACGATTCCGTGTTGTTTCGCAGCCTCGTCGAGAAGATCGAACAACCACTTTACAGCACTGGGCAATGCCTCGTTTGCGGACAGTATCGTGTTCAAAAAATCGTCGACGAATTTCTGTACAGTACCCTTCGTCGATAATAGTCTCGTTAAAAATATTTCAGGAATGGCTTTGTGTGTTCGTTCCGGATGGTGATGCTTGCTTCCCGTAAAGCCCATTCCAGGCGGATACTGACTGTCTTCTATAGGCCTTACTAAGTGATACAATCGTTGATTACCTCCGTGACCACTCTCGACATCACCATTCGCTGTTATATTTGGCGGTGAGTGCTGAGATTCGAAATACAAACCGCTAACCGGATGATTATACATTATAGGACTAATTAAGTTGTGATTAGGTGTGGATGGAAGATGCGTAGACGAGCAATGATTCGTATGTCGATGTAGATGATGGTGATGCGAATGATGATGAATCGGTTGCTGTTGGTGGTGATAATGAGACGGTTTGCAGTTATGGCATGGTGGTTTGCACGCGATAGAAAAGCCATCGTTCTGTCTAGGGATCAATGACATCACCGCCGACTCCTTAACACCGTAGTGTGCTAACGTGTTTATCTTTTTCCACTCTCCGCTACATTTTGTCGTGAGATCTTCATCCTGAAGGGTCAAATGACCACCTCTACCATGTCTCCATTCCAAATCTACGTCATGGACGGACGGCCTCAGTGAGAAAGGAGTATTCTTGTAGAGAGCATCTAGAATCTTGGATTTCACTTGATTTATAGTATCACAATCTAGAACCTTGCACTGTATCTTCTCATCGAGATCATCTTGGACGACGTGCAAGGTAACAACGCTATGTTCGATCTGCTCTCGGAGCAATCTCTCTTCAGACAATGAGTATCTGGCGTCGTGCGTTATTACGTCCACAGGGCCTTTTTCTATCTGATGTTTTATTGCCTTGAAAAGTAAAAATAGTGAGGAACCAGCATAGTCTTTTAGGTAATTGTACATACAAAGCGCCATCCAGTTTGTAAGCATCTTCTCCACCACAGATTCTGTCCTTCTCAGCATCAGCTGTGGATGTTTAGTGTTCACTGCTTTTTCAATAAGTCTGAGTAAAAGATTCATTAGTATATCAGTTGCATATTCCATTTTACCCATCAAAACTACCATAAGTAAAGATGCAACATTCACTTTATCTCTAATGTTAAAGTCTTTTTGAGCCTCCAGAGTTTCGATAAATGTTAGTACGAAGTACTTATTATTAACAAGCTGCTCGAACTGTATCATAGCTGCGTCATAATTAGTTCGCGAAACATTGCTGCGAGATCTGGGGTCATTTAATATTGGATGATGCGTCACACCGGGAAAAAATACTTTCATAATGTAATTCTTGTGATCTAACGTTGGAATACCAGAAGATTCCAGGTCGGCTGTTAAATCAGTCATGTCTGTCTGTAACTCGGCAAATGCCTGTTTACACTCCATCCTAACGTTACTTTCAAGCGTATCCATCTGTATTTGTATTCTCTTATACTCTCTCTCTGCCTGTGTACTCTTTCTCCTATAAATTATTAAAACCAAAACGAATAGAAATACCAGACTGAATGTACCAGCCGCAATACCAGCGATTGCTTCCGGTGGAATTGGGTAAGATTTAATTACTTCATAGCGAAGATAACCAATGGGGAAACGCAAGCTTCTTCCTACCCTCACCACAACCAACGGCAGACCATTTTCAGTTTTAATTCCAAGCTCGTCCGTGTCCGCAGGTTGTTGATCAGGAGGAATACAAACTAACTGGGTAGAAGCGAGTGAAGTCACATTACATGGCATCGTACCCACTGTAACATTCACGTCAGACTCGTCGCTGGCAAAAATTAAATTCTCCCCTTCGATGACTAACGTGTCGCCTTTGTACAATTTAATGTTTCGTGGGAATGCCAAGAATTTCGGATCTTCGACATACAACAAACGGTTCCTGAGATTCTTGAAATGCTTCTCCAAATCTTTGACGCTCTCCACGTTATCCATAATGAATGCTATCCTCAACGACAACTGAGATTCTTTCAATTTCAAGGACTGTACAGGTGCGCTCTGAACATTAACGGCTGCTCGTTTGTTACGTCGCAGGGATATAAATCGTTTGGCAATACTGGGACTAGGACACTCCATTTGAGTCGGATTCAATACAGTGCAAACAGTTCTGTTTACTGGCAGTGATTCATTGTCGAAATAAACCTCCATCTCAGGTTTCTGTATTGTATCTAAATTGGTGCCGTGGACAGTGATCATACGACCACCGGAAGCGAAACTTGTTAATGGCTTGATCTCCATGATGGTAGGGTCATGAGTATAATTGTAAGGGTTACCTACTAAAGTGCGATTTGCACCATCTATACTCAGTGTCAGTCTTTCTACTCTTCTCACTCGATCGGATTTACTACTAACACAAGTCAATCTAGTACTACTCGCCTGCGTTGCATTTACGTGGCATGGTAGCTCGTCCAAGTAGGCTGAAATGGTGCTACCGATGTTCAAGTACATACCAGTGATGGCGAGTTGCGTACCGCCACTTTGTGGTCCAACTGCCGGATAAACACCAGACAAGCGTATGTCTTTGTAATTGAATAGCACTGCACTCTCGGTGTAACCTGCGTCGTTACCAACAACCACAGAGGCCGTATCGGTAGCTTCGTGTCGTCCGGTACGGCAAACTATACGAACGGAAACCTCATAGTCGACCAGATTGCAGGGAGTATTACCAATATGAATTTTTCCCTCCACATCGCTCTCCTTTAATCCCAAATTACTGCCTTCGATAGTCACCAATGTTCCACCTTCAATCGGTCCACTGAGGGGTTTTATCATGTCTATCCTTGGTTTTGGGCATTCGGCGAACGGCGAGTGTAAGCACGAATGCCTATAAACGCAACTGTTGCCGCACCAAGTACATTCGAAACGAGCATCTCTAGTCACGCAAAGGGAACAGTCTGCATGCTCACGATGCGAACCCAACACTTCACATTTATACAGTTTAATAGTAGTCTTGTCGACGTGATGATTGGTGTTCCAGACAACCGTCACCTCCGCTTCGTATTCACCTGTCACTGCCTCGTACGAGTAAACAGTCTTATCACAAACTATGAGGCGACTGCTGTCGACGCGAGCTTGTACTTTTAGATTCGCACCCTCGATGGTAACGATACATTGAAAACCACTATGTCCAACTTGAGGATGAGGCAAATTCTCCACTTCGAGTACTATTTCTTTGGGTACACTGTTAGGTAACATTAAGGGTTCCTTGCGTTGGACGAATCTTGGACAGTACTCTACACCATGTGCAGCAAGATGAGCCTGGTTCTGTAAATACAAAATCTTATTAAGTATAAATATATAGGGTCTCCTAAAAAGATGGACAATCCGAACCGTGCATATTCCTCATGCAAAAACAAATCGAAAAATCGTTTACCGTTTTGTAATCTGAAGCTCCATTTCCGAGATATTAACACAGTTAAACGAACTCGGCTTACAACAATTAGCATTTGACGATCAGATGAGAGGTGAGCCACGCATACGGCTGCAGATACAGTCAAGAAGCAGAGCCCAGTGACTTGGGCCCTGCGTTTCTTGACTGTATCTGCGCGTACGCGTGACTTCGTTTAACTGCCTAATATCTCGGAAATGGAGCTTCAGATTACAAACCGGTAAAGGACTTTTTGATTTGTATTTGCACGAGAAATGTCCATGTTGCGGATTGTCCCATCTTTTTGTGACACCCTCTACATGTACATACACACATATACATAAAAATATAGATACTCACGTTCTCTCCTGAAATTATCCCCTGACAGCTTGTGTTATGCGTACATTTGTTATCGTACACGCACCAACTGCACGGCCACTGAGATTGTACACACTCAGTGCATACTGTATGTCGGGAACAATCGAAGAATGCAAAATTCCGTGAAACGAAGTCTTTGTTTGTCTCACTGGAACGCACAGAGAGTGGTACCAATACATGATCGGCCCCCTCTGGTATGTTAGGCCTCTCCATAACGGGTGGCGTAGGACATAATAATCCAAAAACGGTCATCAATGCGTCAATAGGCTCTGCATTACCAAAGACGCACTTGTAATTTGCACCAGCTGGTAATTCGGGCAAAGTTCTGATCGTCAAATGAACTGTGGTCATTTGATTGATAGGCATGCGGTCTGGTAAAACTTGCTCGAAATCAATGCATTGCTGCCCTGTACCGAGAGACAGCCATCTTGGACTGCTCTGACTTGCCTTCTGACAGTCTCCTCTGACAGTGCATCTAAAAGCATAAGTTAAGATTGTAAAATAGAAAACGAATTGATAAATAGTTTTTTCTTAAGCAAAATACCTTTTTTCTAGGGAACACCATCCACAGTAAGGATCTTTTGCATCAAGACAGCTGCTGCAATTAGTGTAGCTACTGCAATGCTCTACTTGAACCTTTGAGATTTTAGAACTCGATAAAATGTAAATATGCTCTCCATCTGGTGAAATTAAACTGTCTGGCATTATTCTGTTTCCCTTATCAATTACAATGCTTTCATATACAAATGCTTCAGTTCCAGCAAGTAAAACTTTCTTGAGGAATCCATCGTTAGTTCCCAGAAATGCTACAGTGTGGCTTTCTGTATTAGCTATTGTTACAGAGGTAATGAATTCATCAGGAAAATGTAAGATTGCTTGTCCTACGATTGACGATGTGCCAGATATTTTCAAGCCCACTTCACAGAAGTTCAGAATGTTACCTGTTGTCTATAAATATTAAAAAATGTATACAAAAGTAAAGAAAAGACTGAAGTATATATTACAGATGAACAATACTCTGTTTTACACTTACTCCTGCTATAGGACACTTTCCATCCTGTATAGGACCACTGACGTAACCCATGTTCCTATATTTAGTACTACCATTAAAACACATATGAATATTTTCATTGAACTTCATCTCAATCTCTTGCAAGCTGTATACACAAACGGCTGAACGAGACAATGGCTCGTTAGTTATGGTTCTGCTTGGTGAAAATACAGAAACGAAAATAGGGTCGCCAACGGAAATGCCTAATTGCGCGGCTATATCACTCCCAGCTGATGCAACTTTTGCATCTTGCACTAAATTATAGTAATGTTGTTTTCCATCTCCCAAGTCAACAGTACACTCCAGCGTCACCTCTGTATAACTGTCATAATTCGGATCACTGATACAACTTCGAGCCAATCTAGAGATGTAACCTCGTTCCTCTTCTTCAGGAAGAAAAGATTTCTTTTGTACCAATACAAAGTACGCATAATCGCTTGCATTAAAACCATATACATATTTCACCAAAAAGTGATCCCGATATTTAACGTCGATATACACAATTGACTGCTTGTTAAACGTATATTCTGCGAATTCTAAATTATGAAGATTTCTACTAGAAATGGCGGGCACATCGTGCCTATAGTCTCCCCGATTAGTAAATGTGGTGCCAACATACAGAATATTTGTTTGACCCCATGCATTATATTTTTCAGGTCCAATAAAAGCATATGTAGAGGAAGCTTCGTCGTTAGCAGCTACACTATGGGGAATGAACTCCGGTTTAATGGATATGTTAGACATTTTGTACTTTTCACAAGCACCTTGGAGAAGAGAACCGCAAGCGATTAATGTTTGTGATTCAACATCGGCGATTAGTAGTTTGTTTACATTGTCCATTAGAGATGTTGTTATGTCTCTAGAAGGGCAGCCTGTTGCATGACACTGAGGATTATCCGGTCTTGGTCCTGAAAATAATAGACAAACAATAATCAGTTTCCAATAACTTCTGTATAAAACGTATAATAGAAAATGAAAATTAGTGGCTCACCTGTAGAAACATATTCTTCCAGTCTTAAATTAGAATCTAACTGCAATAGTCTGTTAATGGCACCTGCATACAGTCTCCCTGTAACAGGATCTATAGTAAGGTGATTAAATCGGAGGGCACCTTCTCTCGTTGTATTTGGATCTAAAGGATAAAATCCATATCGTTGACCATCTCCTGCAGGGAACTGTGCTATTACATGTAGAGATCTGTTGTCTTGTATGGGTGGAGAAGTACTCATGGGTGTATCTATTGCTGCAGTTACCAATACTACCATAAACCAAGTGGCAATAGACATGGATGAAAAGGATAATCCATGTGACTGCAGCAGCAGTTTAGGAGACGATGGTGCCGTAGGAGAAGTGGGAAATGATACAAATCCCAAGAATCTCATGATGTGTGAACAATAGTTGACAAAGCACATGCGCACACGCTATGCGTGTGCGTTTGTGCGTGTACAAGTCTAGGGTAGGAAGTGTAGAAGGTATAATAAGGGTGTCAGTCCCACAGGTAGAGAGCCAGTATTAATACAATACTACCAAAGATACATGTATCCAGGCACCGACATGATGCTCATTGCCTGGTACCCCTGAAACATTCCAAACAGAATATCATTATATAATTGTAAAAAGATACATTTTAGAGCATTTAAGAACAAAAAAAAAATTGTGTACATAGAATATTTTGAAAAGCAAATTGAAAGATCTCCCTTTTTACATTAAACACCATCTCTATTTTGAACCTGAAACCACATTAAGACAATGTTTAAATCTATGTTTTATTCTTATCATTTGTTATCAATAAATCATTTATTCACTGTAACTGACATGAAACAGCTTCATGATTCATATCCAAAAGCATGAAAAAGAAGGAAGGAAAAAAAAATGAATCAACAATTCAGTTAAGTTTAATCATAAAAAAATGTGACATTAAAATCTTAATGAGTTTTCAAAAATAAATATTGCCGTATCAGATGTGACATACAGGAACCATACTGAGTCCAATAACTGACAATGTTCCATTAGCAATGTATAGTATATGTACAATGTATTTAATCTGATTTAGTTATTGTATATTGTTCCGTCTGTCTTGTTACAAGAAAGGCTTTGTTGAATGACTTCAATTCATGCTTCACAGCAGCAAAAGAAAGCTGCGTCTAAATACAATTTGGTAAAAGAAATAAAATTAAATAAATTCACAAAATTTTAATCAAGTTAGGAAGTTTCCTGTTTCTTGAAAAGTAGAGTCCAAGGTATGCATTTTTTTTTTGTTATTAACTTCTGAATTTTCGTAAAAATCGGTAATGCCGAAATACTTGTTAGAATTCTTTGAATACTTGTGTTGCAAGGGATTCGTATTGTTTGCCAAAAAACCGTGCGTGCATGGTCAAGGCATGAGCCGACTATATAAATCGAAGTAGACTGTCAGAAACGTAAATAATGTATTACTGACCAATTTCGATATTAAAACATCTCGACGACGATGTCAGGCTAGGGCATATGGCTATACACTTTTCGAGTAACACCGTTGCACACACCGCCCTTCATTAGTGTGAACAGCATAGCTGCACTTGACAGCTAAGACCAGTGTCTTCACACAAAGGCAAGGATATTCAGCTTCTTGTCGATAATCGCCTGGCAATAACGCGCATACAAGCGATTTAGTTAAGTTCAGCTAATAAAATACGTAAATATATTCAATAGAATTACATTAAGCAGAAATACATTGCAAACAGGCACTCAAAAAGAAAAAGAATTATGTACCTCTGGGTTGGAAAAAGCTCGCAGCTTCGATTCGTTCGTTCTGATATGATCATTGGTCAGCCCGTCAGCGGCTATCATCAGTTTTCATAACGAGTATACGTACGCATCGTATATCGGGTAAAACTATAACTGAACCACCCCTAATTTGTCACTCGTAATCGGTTTTTTCACGAAAAAGTCAAAGCGTACAACACGATCGCACGATGGAATGTTCGTACGCAAGGATCGCTACAACACATCGCGGATATGCACCATGTCCTTGATACAAGCCCCGATACAGGTCCTCGGCCGATCAAACACCGAATAACGAGATTCACTGGTACCCCCTAACGTTTCTTTGGTTAACATAAAGAGGAGTACAAATGCCGTTCACTGTTTTACAATAACACTACTAAACAGAGAGGATCGGAATGATCCGCCATTAAAATTCGACCGACAGCGACAGGCTGCACGAGTTTAGAGCAAGTTGGGGCTGGGGGCCGTGGCTACGGCATGCGCTGCTTGTTCATTATCCCTCTCTCTTTCTCTCTCTCTTTTTCTTTCTTGTTTGCTCGTTTGGCTGCGCTCTCGTCGCGCTTTTCCCACGGTTCAGTGTCTCTTCTTCGATAGTTCTATCGCTCTCTTCTCTCAACTTTCCTTTTCTTTCCCTTTTGGTACATCGAGAACCGACAGCGTCCTCCAATGGCCAAAACCTTGTACTTATTCTTGAATAGGTAAAAGTAGTTACGATATTTTCTCCGTGACAATTACTTCAATTTATAATTGATTCATTGTCAACGATGACTAAACTTTTATTTTGCCAAAAGCAATTAGATAGAAAAAAAACGTAATCATGACTTTACACTATAGGAAACAAATTTGACTTATAACTATGAAATATTGTAATCAAATCTGAATTTATCAAAATGGCCGCCTCCACGCAAAACTTGGAATGGCGCCAACTTTTAAAAAGGAACTTGGGGCACACTCCTGTTCTAAATTCTATACAGCTATGGTCGAAGGAAAATTACCAGTTTCCAGAAAAATTCGAAAGTGTCCTTCAAAGTTCTGCTAAAAATCAGTAACACATATTCTTACCCGCCCCAATGCGTGGGGCTGTGTTGTTGAGTAATAATATGCTTCACAATGAAATTTGACTCATAACTTTATTGGGTACAGCACCTCGTATTTTTCACTTTTCTCCACAGCTTTCACTGACGCCCAATTCTCATCATACCTTAAAACAAAGGCATCGATGTAAGATGGTACACACGTATCTTCATGTTTCCTCTCTTTTGTACTCACATTCTTTACATACTACACAAATAAAAACCTTTTCTATCTTTCTTCGTAAGTCGACTGGTTAAGTAGTCAAGTCCAAAGTGACTCCTGTGGTCACGATTTATTACTGTAAATATCATGTTATTTACACATATATCTAAGCTTTGAACAGCTTAATAACGTTTTTTTCTTCGCATTATGGAGAGGGTTTGAATTTTTTCATTTGGCTGTAGGTATCGTTCATTTTACATGTAACAAATACAATAGATAACTAATATAGCGAGTCATAGAACATGATGATCGACGTATAACGTAACTATGTAAGACTGGATTCATACTAACGTCCCTCTCGGCGTGTTTCGATCGCGTTCTCTTAAATTCGTTATACAATATATATGTAAAGCTGTGCCTAATATTTACTTAAATGTTAACTTCTTACAGACCGGTTACATCTTCAAAGGAAAAAATCTCTACATAGTTCTATATAAGCCAAACTTATCATACCTAAGTAGACACTTTAATATCAGAGATGTTTTTTTTTCTTCTTAGATAGAAATACACGCTTTAAAAGTCTCTTATGTTTTACGGTAGACAAGGACGACTTGTCGGTTACAAGGAAGGCTTCTCCTAACACCGTATAAAAATTATAAAACAGAAAGAATGTTTAAAATTTACCACCTAACAAGTTATTATACACGTGTTTGTGAGAGTCGGTGCTATGGCCAGCCTCCTTAGGCCTTTGATATACGACATCAAAATTAAAATCAAGGCGAGTGCCTCAACTCCTTTTGCATACAGGTGGAATATTTCATTTCCAGATCGTAATTGTCTGGTTTCACACAGATTTAAGCAGCATCAAACTATCATTGAAAAATGAATATATCTTTTGATATTACACCAGCCTCGTTCTTGTTATTGTTCATCTGTCAACTAGCCCCTGGATACTAGTTACGGACAAACCGTGTTGTTACAAGTACAAAAAAGGATCGTGATCTACAGTATTCATATCATGCGACATCTTTTCCTTATGTTTACGTCAACGTGCCAATATGTAAGAGCGCGTTCAAGCGCTACGTTTTATTTATATAAATTACGCGTCTCATTTTGCAAATGTGTACCTTGGCACAATGGAATTTGCCCATACCACCATAAATACTTGAAAAGCACTTGGCTCCTTTGGACACTCAAGAAACATTACGTACCTTTGGTAACATGGACAATTACTTGCGCAAAGGGTATTGTATTATGCATTAACGTTTTCATGGATGCAAAAATGTTGATAGTAATATTGTTTTTAGTAATTGTGGTAATTTTATCTGTGGTAGTAGTACTGATGGTGACGATAGTGGTGGGATACTGTATGGATGACGGATGAAATCACCTATCCCAGTGAAGGGAAGTCGTTCTCATCGTCTACTTTCGGAGCATTTTGACGTCCCCGAGGCGACCTTTGCTCAGTTTGCGGAGGCTATACAATTAAATGAACATTATCAATTAATTTAATTATAATTAGTATTTAGCGCACGTACAAAATCAGATGTAAAATAATAAAAAAAAAAATACTTACAGGACCACGCGAGTCTCCTGCGTCTCTAGGAGCTCCTCCACCACGATTTCCAAATCCACGACCGTTGGCACGTTCTCCTCCACGGCCTCCACGTCTCTGACCACGTCCACCAGAACCACGTCGAGAATCACTGAACTGTATCTCGATGCCTAATACACGTTTCTGTCTTCCAACACGTTGAGGATATTCCGCCGCAGCATCATAGTCTTCTTCATCTTCTTCGTCGTCATCACCACCTTCCTTCTTATTCGCGAGTGCATACATTTTCTTCCAGCGAGTCATGTCTTCACCTTCTCCAGCTTTGCGTATGTTGTATTGAGGTTTCTCTCTAGTATTACGTAAAGCTTTCCATTCGTCCAATGTTAATTCACGAGGTTCTTCCTCAGCGGGCTTCTCTTCAGTTGCGTCCGGATTTGCCTCACCCTCTTTTGCATCCGGAGATGCTTGGGGAGCATCTCCATCAGGTTTCTCGTTAGGCCAATCTTGACTCTCTTGATTCAAACTTTCTCTAAGCGTTTAAAAAAAAAAAGAATTAGAAAACCGTTTTATATATACACATACTGTGCCTAATGAATAACTTCTATAAAACTTACTCAATTTCATCATTGTGAGTACCCCAATTATGGCTTCCAGCACCATCTTTTTTATCGACCGGTTTAATCCCGCTGCTTATATAAATATATAGCAGTTAATTAGACGAAATGCAAATAGTATAATTTAAAATAAGTTATGAAATATTAATTACGTTTTATCAGAGCCTGATTGGCGATCGAATTCACGTTTTCCGCGGTTATCGTATCCTCCACGACCACGTGGTCCTCCGCGTCCGCGACTAATCCCACGCAGTCCACCTCGACCTCTGCGTTCTCCATATTCTGCACGTTGAGTATCATTAGAATTTCTGAATTCTCGTGTTTCACGGCCCTCGCTAAAAGAATACAATATTAAAATCATGTGCTTCTTGTGAGTGTCCAACGACTTCAGTTTCTATAATACAAACCCAGGAGGTCCACGTCTCAGTTCTCCTTGACCACGGGGTGTTCTTTCTCCATCTTCGCGATTACGTCTGTTATTGCGTTCCTCTCTGTTGTCTCCAGAGAATTTTACATTGCGATCTCCACCACTGGTTCTTGATTGTGGTGGCTTTTTCTCTCCTGAGAACAAGTTAATTAAAATAATTACCAAATATGTAGTCCATGCAGAGATATAGTCATATCTCACATCTTAACATTTTCCATATTAATATAAACATTTTCATTCAAACAACCACTGATTTCTGAGTACCAAAATCAAATACTATGTTCTATAGACTTGCAACAAACTATAAACATTAAATATTTATAAAAGTCACATTAAAAAATATATCAGAATATCAGTTTCCCAATTAAACACAGTTGTAACAAACAAGTTTATGAGCATATCTTCATTTAAAAACATATGTGCTTAAGAATATCTTGCACATTGTAGGATAATTCTTAATTGTGTCAATTTTACTTGAAAAAATATAATGATATTCATGTATTAATTTATCTATTTTCATTACTAAACAGCATATATCCATCTATTAACAACATTCAATTGCAATATATTGATTATATGTAACAAAAATACTAATAGAACTGGCCATTAAATGTGATATAAACATTTTTTGTCCAGTAATATATTCTCTTTGAACGCTAATATTATTATTTGTTTTACGATTAACATAAAATTTTAATAATAAATGATAGAATTTCAGGAAAAATATTCGTTAAACGACACGTGGGGTCATAATCAGCAAATTCTATTTTTACGATACGAAGTGAACCCCACACTATGCGGCATGAGAAATTGTTGACGAATTGCAAGAAATATGAAGGCTAAGGAACAATTCCTTTATACACAGTTTCATACGTAACGCGCATCACGAATTAAACATTGAAATTAAAGAAAATGAATGTTTACGGTCAAGAAAAGTTCGGTAAAACACGACAAAATATCGAAAGCACATGGACCCACGAGGGAACCAAAGCGACGGCCATAATACCGCGCACGAGGCAATGATTCTAATGAAAAATTGCTAACCTTGATCTTTCTTTGGATCTTGGACCTTCGATGCTGGTTGCTGCGCATCCTTAATAACACGGCTTTTTTGCGTTTTGATACCGGTAGGCTTTTGCACGTCCGGCTGCTTACTCTTATTCTCCTTTTCCGAAAGCTTCTCCTTTTTCTTAGCTTCCTTCTCTTGTTCCCGTTGCTGCACTATCTCGTGCAGATCCGCATCGTCGGCCAACAACGGTACCAAGAATTTGTTGGTAACGTTAATGCTGTACACGGACTCCATGGTGTCTCTTATCCTCTCTTCGTCGAGGATCACGCGAAAATTTCACGGCTACTCTTGAGCCCTTGTGTAACAGAGACATTCAATATTTCAATATGGCCGAGTCCGGAGATAGTTCACCACGAGGTCTGTTCTCAGGGAGGGACCGCATAATTGTCTTGCACCCAGCGCGCCACCTCCCCTCCAATATTGTTTATCTTAATAATTTTAGAAGCTTTTATGTTAGCAAACGCTGTCTAAAATCGAATTTTTAATTTTAATTGTATCATTTTTTTAAAATATCAATCATCTGACGATAAAGCGATGCAATCTTGATTAGCCGTAGTTCTCAAAGAACCGGCATTATTTCCATGAATTACTTAACGTACGACCAAATAGATTTTCTTATCTTTTATGCTTTATCTTATTGTTGTGTAATAATATTTATTCAGCTATCATGCATTATTTACATCCTGCGTCGTATTTTATTGTATTTGAATGACAAATAAAAATTAACCGGCGTCTGTGTCGACTCGTAAGAGTTTCGATGTAGCCCGCGAATCCAGAATTTGTACGTTCCCATGCCGGGAAAACACGTGTTTCAAATGTCCAGTTGTAAATGTAATATTACCTTCCTGTAACTTCTAATATTTTTGTATATTTTCCGAGTGACAATGTTAACTACTTGTTTGAAACGGAGATTACTATTAACGTACACCTACATTTATCATATTTTAAGCCTCTAATGTTCAAGAATTTTTGCTTGAAGTAAAACGTACCTTGGTACCTTATTAAAGATACATATACTTTTTACGACTTTCTTTTAATTTTCTGCCGAATAAACAGAGTAGTTCGTGAATGTAAATTTATCTTCAGGTTCTTGGACTGTTCAATGCATATTTCGTTTAATGTCTTTATCGTTGTACACTTTGTTGTAAATTAGACCTATTGCACAATCATTATGCAGCATTTTCATGTGTGAAATGAATTTTTTTATCTATATAGAAATAAAATACCAAATGACGCAGTAATCAAGTTATTGTTAATCTATAAGAATAATACAAATTTTTGGTACGATCATCTTGTCTTTTATAAAAACAATCTTTTAAATGAAAAAGTTAAAGTATTTTGTACCATATGTACTAACTGAAAAATTTGTAAATGTATCTGATTTCAATACATCAAAATAGTTTGTCAAGTCCAAACGGTATAATGATTTAATATAAGAATACATATTTACATATGTGTCAGTAATATGGTGCGCCATCACGTTGTATGTACATACATACATAAGTAGCTTTACGTAGTATATATGTATGATATATATATACGTGTTCCTTTAATTGCAAGTTTGTGATTGGTCATGGGATCACGAGGGAAGGATGCGCGCGCATCAGCCAGAAGCCGCGTGTAGAAGCAGTCGTTATGACGATGCCAACGATACAGCAAGGGGATCGAGGTGTGATTCCGTTGTTGGTGCTGTGTTAAGGGAAATTATTACCTTTTCCATTCTCCTCGGTTTCATTATCAGAAAACTGAAGAATATAACTAACGCGCAATTGTTCGTGTCGGCCATACTTACGCACGCGTATTGTGTATCACGCCGCACAAATTCGTTTTGGCGGTTTGCTGGTGCACGCACGCGGCATACGGCGGCGGAGGGTAGCAGCAGGGAGTGAGAGAGAGAGAGAAAGAGAGCGCGCGCGCGATTAAGCAGAGGAAGGAAGGTGGTATCGCGGTAACGTTGGTTTTTTAGGTGACCGGCAAGCTGCACGGTGAAGTGAGAAACGTGACATGGAATTGCACACTCCGAAACGTGAATCGCGGCCTATGACGGAAGCGTTGCCGTGCAGCCCGCCTATGTGCGATACAATGCTTTATCCGTGGAACTGGGGCGAAGAGGCCAGAAATGTGAACCTGAGCCCAGGCAGCTCTTGCTCTTCGCCGGAGTATCGGGATCATAGCGTGGTAGCTACGAGAACGGGTCCTAGATCACGTTCCGGAGGCTCCGAGAGTCATCGCCGTGGCCGGCCCAGAGCGGATGCTCTCTCGAACCTCATGATACAGGGAAGCACGTCGCCGAGTAGCATAAAATGCACCTATTGCAACCGGGTCTTCCCACGAGAAAAAAGCCTCCAAGCACATTTGCGTACCCACACAGGTATACCTCCATTATACTGGTTTTATCTTATTATTCTACATTTTGCATGCCTCATGTAGCTGTACACGTCATTTCGATGGAACTTTCTGTGAGAAAAGTTTGTACACGTCTACTCAACAACGCGTACGGCCGTATGATCGCAACGAGGCTTGCGCGGCATCGTGTGCTCACGCCTCCCGCCAATCGCCATCATGCGTGCTTTAAATGGTTAAATGGCTTGTTTGGAAAATAGCGAATTTCATGAATGGTGATACGCTGCGCCGCACTTTTTTCCCCTCTTCTCTCTTAATGTGCGTCGTTATAGAAACGATAATCATTTAATGCTTCGGAATATATTTTTTGTCTGTTGAAAGGGTCCGAAGCGATGTATATATTTAGTCTTTGTCTGGAACCTCTTTTGTCTAAAACAAGTATATAAATGCGTTGCAGTACCGATTTTTTAAGCATAACTATTTTTAAGATATCATCACAATGGTCTAAAAAGAATGCTCTGATATATGTATTTTTAATGTAATATTTCGTAAAACTTAGTGACTTGGGATTATTGTTCTAAACTAATAAAATTAAATTTCTTAAATTAAATCATAGAAAATAAATAATTGTTTTTTTCAGGGGAACGTCCATATCCTTGTGATTATCCAGGATGCACAAAAGCTTTTACACAATCAGGACAATTAAAAACTCATCAGAGATTACATACAGGAGAAAAACCATTTCTGTGTACAGAACCTGGTTGTGAAATGAGATTTACACATGCAAACAGACACTGTCCAGATCATCCCTATGCAACTCTAACTCGTTCTGATGACTTTGTATTAAAGCCTGTATCTGAAAATACTGAATTACCTCATGATGTAACTAGATGGTTGGAGCGTTATAAAATGTCTAGGGAATCACAAAAGAGTCAAGTCTAGGAAGGGCCTGATGATGGATGCAACAGGTGAACAAGAGAACTTAGACTGTAAGGCTTCCAATCAAAGATTGTACTGTGGTGAAAGTCAAGATAGCCAAGAGGAAAGTCAAGATGAGGACCCAGCAGAAACATGTAATATGTTGCAAATATCAGAAGATGAAGAACTATCTACAAAATTGGCAATTACTCCCTTAAGAAGACCTTTAGATAGACTTCAACCAAAGAAAAGGTGGTTACGTGAAGCTTGTTTGGAGCAGCAGTTAGCTAAACCTTTAAATTGGGATAATAAGCCTGTTAATGTAGCAGTAACCACTTCATTCAAAAATAATAATGGTAGTCAGGTGCACTGGAGTGCACTGATAGATAACTCGTCTAATGTTTCAGACACTTCGTGTGCAAATGCATGCAAAAAAGAAATTGAACTTGTAAAGTCAGAGTTGGATCCTGCTTATATATCTACTCATGCATCTTGGGATGTAACTAACGGTAATAATGAATCTCTAAAAGACCCTGCAAAAGAGGAACAGAAGTATGTCTTTGAAGCCCATACTGCAATGTCTCAAACTATTTGGAGTTCTCAGAATAACACAAATGATTTTTCAAATAATGAAGCCGAAATTAAAACTAATATCAGTCAGTCTGTGTGTAAGCTTGAATGGGATAATGATGTGGTTAAAGAGAATTCCAAGTCCTTGTTGAATCAAGCGCATATGAAGAATACGAATTTAGCTCAAAAAGAGGTATCTACACAAGATACATTTATGCAATCTCATATTAGTGAGAACATAATGAGACCAACTGTCCTGATGTTAGCTGGAAGTTCTAATAACAATAATAGCAATAAAGATAGTGTTTTAAAAGTAATACCTGCAGAGCCTGAGACAACAACAAAAGTAGTTATTGTTAAACAGGAAGATGACCATATAAAGTTACCAATTCCAGAGGACAGTCAGAAATGGTTAGGTGCATTAGCTTTAATGGAGCTAGCTAAAAACCAAGAAGAGACAGTAAGAGGTTTAAGTCTAAAACAACTCTTATAGACTGTGATTAATGGCTATTGTAATTCTGACTTGTGTTATTATTGTATGGCAGAGAAGAAACAAATAAAAGTGCATTTATTGCCATAATGCATTTAATCATCTGATAAGTAAACATAAAGGAAATCGTTGTTTAGAATTATCTCTATTTTTCATCTTACACAATTGAGTAGCATTTTTTTACAATCTTTTAAAATAATTTCCTAATTACGTTATCGTGTTACAATTTATTACATTTATCTCTTATTTGCATTTTGCTGCTAAACTATGTGCTACTATTTTCTCATAAATATTAAGAATTGTAAAAATTTGTTATTATCTCCATCTTTTTTTTTCTGGATAAAATTAAAGAACGTAGAAAACTATTTTTTTCTTTTATAATCGGTATCACGTCTATCATTAATTTCGTTTGACTACAGTTGCATAAAGTTCTGAAAATTTGTACTATTTTTAATATTCTGCAGATATTGTACTTTCGCAATTCTTGACATACTATTGTATAATGTCAGAGAAGAGCAATGTTTCACGTTTACTTCTAAATTTTTGTTGCTATTTAATGACGTCAATCGTTATGGAAATTTGTATTGGTTTACAATGTGAATTTTTTATTTTCTTTTATAGTAAACATAGAAAATGACCAGAATTGATTTTGAATCTATGTATTTAATTTAGATATCTATCAACTTGCCTTTTCATCTCACTTAAAAGATTTTCCAACTATTACTTTGAATGCTATGTTAGTTAAATAGTTAAAATGTTTCTTATCACACCATTAAAGCTATATTTACATACGTATATATACAATTTTCTACGACTGATCTTCCATTCTATGAAATTACGAAACCCATATAAATTATATTCCTGTTTAGGTGATAATGCAAAAATTTATTTATTAGTATCGGCCATACTATGTAACAGTGAAAATGTGTGTGATACTTAGAATGGTAATAAAAGAAATTAACGAAAGAAATTGTTTTGAAAAAGTAGTAAATGATGTTTGTAAAATATTTAATTGGAACAAATATGGTTATTATTTATAAATTAGAGTTATAGATACAAAGAGAGTAATGGGTAGAATAAAGTAGAAACTTTCATTCATAATCATTAAGTAATTTTAACTTCTACGATTTTTTACTGAATGTGTATATATGTGAAATATTTTAATAAATATTTTTTAAAACTTCACCAAATTATGTTTAGTAATTCTTATAAGTAGTTTATGCATGTAACGATAAGAAAGTTATTTAAGAAGGTAACGCGTGCGGTTCGATGACTTATAACAGTGGTTTTGTAATAAATTTTAATTCTTTACAAAATACATACATACTAAAATTTCTTTTTAAATTTCAATATAAAAATACAATACTGGCAATATTGTTGCGTTATATCACGACGAGTTTCTTTTAGAGCTTCTAGTTTTCGCGTTGTGCGTCTCTTGGGGTGTTATACTTTGTTTCACTGATTGTCTTGTAATTTTTGATTTTGTACTTTCGTTACTGTGTATTTTCTTCAAATTATCTACAGAATTGTATTGTTCAACAAACAAATTACTTGGCTCTAATCTCTCCACACTGTTGCTCTCGCTTATATTACTTCGTTCAGACATTAAATTATTTTTATCTTCCTTTTCATTGATACCTAAGTCTTTAAAAAATGCAATTATTTTATTAATTTTCTTACAGTCGTTTGAAGTCAGTTGCTTCAAATGTCGGGTTTTTCGAACATTCTTTTGTGTAGTCGCGTTTAATTTAAGGTCTTCTATTTTCTTGATTAATTGTTGCATGTTATTACTCGTTACAGGATCCTCCAATTTGTCAACCGCTTCAAGCAAATACTCCGAAACGTCTGGCACTAACGATGTAATTTTATTAATAACATCATTCATAGAAATGTTACTAATATTTTCTTCGTTTAGATTTACAGGCTCTTGTAAAAGTACTTTTCGCGGTTCATTTATATCTTCTAATGCTTTACTAGTATTGCTTGTATCCTCTTCATCAAAAATTTTTCTTCTGGTCAATTTGCTACGAGACCTTGTCCTCCGATATCCATACGTTGATGAAGAAGTATTATCTTCATCGTCACTGAAGTTCATACTAACTTTATTCAGTTTCAGCAGAGGAGGAGTTCGATTTCGTTTTAGAGTGATAGGTTTCTTCGTTCGAGAATTATTAGTAGTTGGTGTAACGCAAATGGTATCTTCAGTTTTGGATTCTTGTATGTATTTCGTTAGATTAATGTCTGATGATTTCAAGACCGTAAATGCTGCGTAGACAACAGTAGTTAATCGTAAGAGGAATAACACGAGGATTTAATAATACATAATAATACAATTTATAGTAAAATACTCACTTGAACAATCAAGGCTATCGATTGTCTTTTGGAAACGGTAATTGAGAATTAATTCTTTAACCGACATATAAACTGGATGTCCTTTAAGTTTGTACATACCGCATATTTTAACTGCCAGGAAAAGGATATTCATTGTTTTATCTTGTCTTGGTTTTAGATAATTATTTAGGAAATAAGAGAAGTTGATCAATAAGAGTACGTAATCAATACTATAAAGGCGTTCTTGCAAAGAGAAATATCCCTTTTTTTGCCTCGACACAGATTTCTCCATCTTTATTAATTTTTCTTTTATCCGAAATGCACCACTGAAGTGTTGCAACGATGCCGAAAATTTCTTTTGTAGTGCATACAATTGGGCCCTGATATGAGTGCCCACAAACACCAAATAACAGTATGATAAATTTTGACATGCATAGCATGCACAATCTGTGTGAAGCATAAATTCGGGAAGATCGAAGCATTTATTTCGAAGAATTGGCGATGCATCGTTTTGCGGAACGTCCCTGACAGATTCCAGAACTCGAACTGGAGTCAAAACGTTCTGCACTGTGACTTTTGCTGAACTAATAGTCATCGATGCTTTAAATGACTCAATATTTAAGATATGTTCCAACCCTTGTAGTTTCACTTCACAATCACTTAATTGCGAACGTGACAGGTCAATGTAACAAAGTGATTTTAATACTTCTGCGACTCTTATGGTTGCTCCTAAAGTTTGTGCTGTTCTTAGTCGCCGTACTAGATGGGCACCAATTTCTCTAAATGACAATAAACTATTCATTCGCAAGGATAAATTAATTGTTGCAGATAGTAGTATATCGAAGCCGAAGAGATACTTGTCTCGAGATTTCCCTGTGAAAAGATACAAAACTATTTAAACACTATCACAAATATAATCTATTAGGGGGTTACGTTTTCTATTTTGCTGTTTTATCGATTGTGGCGAGACAACCCTGGATAAGTCATTAGAATATTATCCTAAATAGATTAAACTATTACATTTTTTTGCAGATAACTCCTCGTTTAAATTGACTATAGTGTACAATGTTTCAACAATATAGCGAGTGTATTCTTCATGCTTGATATCTTCTTTGTACATAGAACAATTCCACAAAATTCTATCCAGACTGTATAAATATACAGCTGTGTTAGAAAAAAAAGAAATTCCCGGTAGTTTTCTGGATTCATTTAGTAACTTTCTAGCTTCACCATACTAAAATTAACAGTTATACAAAGTGTTAGCATACCTACTAATAATTCATAACTATTTAACTTACCATATTACATTCAAAATAAAAGTCTGACAAACTTATCCAAAAAACGGCAATCGCGTAAATCGTGTCTTCATCGTTGGTATCTTGGAGTTTGTTAGCAAGCTCTTTTGCAGTTATAATCCATTTCTGGTTAATATGTCTCAGTGATACACTACGACCAGTAACTTAAAAAAAAAAGCTTTAATTAATACATAACTTTTACCAGTGTTACCGAAGTAGACGAGTAGAGATCTTTACTATAAATAATCGCTCGATTATCTTGCATCTCACTAGCTAATTTGTATGCAAGTTTCCATATATTAACTTCACATTTCTGATAACGATACAAACGAGCATATTCACCAGCTATTATTAGTGTGTAAAGTGTTATCAGTGGTTCAGAGCCTCTAACAATTTCTTCCTATCAATTACAAGCAAATAATTAATATTGTAGCACCTAGTAATAAAATACATTCGATTTTCTATAATTAAACTTACAATGTTTTGTTCTAAGCATTTATTCCATTTCCCCAAAGGCGTCTCTAAATATGTTACAAGTCTAGAATCCTCTTTAATATTTATCGTAGAATAAGCAGGGACCACATCACGGGACTCATTTTCACCGATTTCTGATATCTTTGGTGCATGCAATGCAAATTTCGTGTTCTCCATTTCTACTTGAGTTTTCTCACTCATAATTTGCAATTTTGTTATAAAAATATAAAATTCCAAATTGGCTTGCAAACACAAAACAGAGTTACTCGTCTTTATCCGTTCTAAATTGGAAACTGCTTGCTTAAGGCAGTCTAAAGTGTTCTCAATGTAAACGAAATTTAGCAAATGGTATACTAACATTTGAACTACACGAGCGTATAGGATCGGAGTCGCGTTTAATGTTATCATTTCACCAAGCACTTTACGAATGGCATCTGAAAGATTGACTTTTGCTTCTTGCAATCCTTTTGCCTCTCTCAAACATATTTCAACGAGGTCATATTGGGACAGTTCAAAGAACAGTCCCAATTCTTCTATCTTTGCTCTATCTGTCTTTAAGCAAGACAAAATCGTCATTTCCATTATTTCCTTGGAATTTACAGATTTATGTTTAATGTTTGCCCACATGCGAAATGCTTTTGTGTCTGAATCTTTATAACTTAATAGAGCATTTAATGCTGTCACAGTCATAGCTTCTCTGTACATACCATGATTATAATGAAGTGAAGACAATCTATGCAATGTGAAGCATATGGGATTCTGAAGATTAATGTACTGAGACTTCTGTTGGACACCCTCAAATTGTACAATAGAAGAGCATAGTAAAGAAAACAAAGACACGCTTTCTTTGTAAAAGCATTCAGACATTATGCCCAAATTATAGAGCAAAGCACTACAGGTAGACCATAACTGTGGCCAACACTTACACCTGCATTCTTTCATTTTGTAAATATGCGCTACATTTTGTTCCAAGAATCTTTGAGCAAGTCTACAAATATCTTTTGACAGATCGTTTGCAGAGAGCTTGCTAATTAAATTAATACATCTGGTTTTTATTACTATCACATTGTACATATCTGTTCTTACCATACATTCTCTACTTTGGCAAGATTTGCATTTATCTGATATCTGATGAAGAAAGCATTTACTTATGTGAGGAACCAAGTTCATTATTTCTAATAATACATTATTCCTCAGGAACACTTTCTTTCCTGCTTTGATACACATTTCCCAATATATAAATAAAGATTGTAGAATTTGAACAATACTGAAAGTGGTCCATTTAATAGATCCAGAATACCCGTATCTCTTTGGAATTTTTAAATAATCATTACAAAAATCTTGAATGCTATTAGCAGTATTATTCACTAAACATTCAATTGGTTTCATGATTATAAGGCAGAGAGATTCAAGCTGCTGGTAGCATTGATAACATTCTTCATCTTCTATTAAAATTGGTTTAAAACAGTTGCTCAAATTACCCAAAACTTGTATTGCAGTCTTCAGGCTTTCTTCATTAGCGTATTCACACATGACCCTACTTACTATGTGAAGCACATAACGAGATATAACATACTTCTCGTCTTCCTTTATAATGATTTTTATCTGGTTCAAATATTCAATTATAAATATACAGAAATCTTCTTTATTTAATGGTGCCATTTTGTCTGTATATGAACTTATCTTCATAAGCAAATGTTTCGTATAACTTACATATGCTATTCGTATCATATCTAATTCATACTTTATAACATCTTTCATTTCATAATAATATCTGAGATTTGAAGGATCTCTTTGTAAAATATTGAATGCACTATTCACAGCATTAGACCACAAATAAGCTATTTTTAATAGTATGTCACTCACAGCTGTATCAGAAATGCATATAGCTTCAGTGTTTAAGAAAGAACAAACTCTAAATGCTTCCTTATACATACACATAATTAATAAACAGCGAATAATATGGTACAAACTAGAAATAAATTTTTTACTATCGGGTATTTCAGTCAGAATTAAACGCAATTGACATGTCAACCTGTAAATCTCCTTTCCTATGGCACTATTTCGCTTGTTGCATCTGTCTGCAGTGTGTGACAAATATAATAACAGTTTGAAAACATGTTTGTTTACATTCTCTGTTGAATCTGAATGATCGATTATCTGAAAAAGTTTCAATTCCGTTATAGTAGCTACAAGATATTAATTAATTTCAATTAATTTCAGACGAAGTACGTAGTGAGAGACTTAAAGAAATCAATATGTAATAAATATAAAATTTGTTTATCAGTGTATAACTGACCTGAATCTCGTCCGTTATTCTATCCAATTGTTCCGTTTGAATGAATTCAATCCATCTTTTTACATTTTTTTCAATATTATTCATTTTTCGGGACGAATAATGACTGAAGACGAAAAAACTGAATAAGTTTAACTTTTTTTACGGACGATTACTGTGCTCCACTTCAATTTTCATCACTTTTCATTTCACATTTACCCGGCAGAAATTTGACACAGACAAAGTGTGGTGTCTTACGTGTCTAGAACGTGGTCGCCATACACAAAATCACAAAATATTTAAACCAGAGACTCTACAATAATAGCGACTCTGTGCTGCTCTTACTCTGTGCTTGTGCTGCCCCAAAACCGTACTGGTGAGTGGCACGGATTACATGCGATCACAGACGAGATATGTATAAGAAGGTGGCCCACTTAAACCGTAGTACCGACGCCTCAAAAAATCTGTGAATGAAGTAGTGACCTTTACGTTATAAGAACGGTAAATATGGGTAAATCTATGGTGGATAGTGACACCACCGACTAGGTATAGAATAGACCTATCATTCAATGCTTTTTCCTGTCCTACGTTCATAGGGCTACGTAGCTCTGTTACCATTTTAGTGTCAATACCCGACGTTACCGATAAAGCATGAATTCTGAGTATTATTAGCACAAATGAAGTGTTATATATTCCATTCATATTACGTGTATCTATATGATTCAAGACTCTTTCTACTACGTTTACTTTACAGCGAACGGATGGAAGAGAATCCGTTCACGACCATGGTCCCTTCTTAGATTTAACGTAGTTCACAAATTCACCGTTCTCATAACGTAGAGGGCAGCAGAAAATCCCTGACTTTTTACACTATCGGTATTTCAGAACATGAGACACGAAGTCCTCCATAAGATGATAGGTCTATCCTATACCTAGTCGGTGGTGACACTAAGGGCCCAGAAAAGTGGGTTGCAAAAATACATTGGATAAAATGTCTACTCCTATACTTCGTCCATGGCAGCACTGAATTGAGGCAGCAACTGTACTGAGATCGTGCAAGTTGATACTTACCTTACTTTACCGAATTCATAATCAGTATCTTGCCTATTATAAATCGTTCCGAAATTCAAATGTGTCCCGGATTTCCGGCACTTGTTTTAGTACTGAGCCTTGTCACCTATGGTGCTGCAAAATGACCAAGAAAAACCGGTGAGATGTATCTCCATGGATAGGAATGAATGGACAGGAAGCTAACAGATAGGACACGTGAAGCTAAAATCATAACTATTTGTATATCATAACTATTGTTTGAAAGATGAATTCGAGAACACAGGCGAGAAGAATACCCGAAGTGGAACCACGCATAGATTACGTTCAGTGTGATGGATTAGTTGTTATGAAAATGGTGAAGCACTGTCACGAAGAATCTTTGAATAACATGGATGTTGCTCAAGGCGCTCTTCTCGGCTTGGTCGTTCAAAACCGTTTAGAGATTACAAATTGTTTTCCATTCCCTAAGAATGATGAGATTATGGATGAAGAAGAATATCAGCTTGCCATGATGCGTCGTCTCAGATGGTAAGTAATATATCGAACTAACAAAATTAACCACGATGGCGCGACTACGTTTAACATAATAATTTTGTAGGGTCAATGTTGATCACTTCCATGTCGGTTGGTACCAGAGTGCAGATGTTGGAAACTTTTTGAATGTTTCACTGTTGGAATCGCAATATCACTATCAGACTTCCATAGAAGAATCTGTGGTTCTTATATATGATACTGCCAAATCAGCCAGGGGTTTCTTGACACTGAAAGCATATAGACTTACTCCCCAAGCTATTCAAATGTACAAGGAAGGTGAATTTACACCTGAAGCTCTAAGGACCTTGAAAATTGGTTATGAAAACCTGTTCATTGAGATACCAGTTGTAATAAAGAATAGTAATCTGACGAATATAATGATGTCTGAACTGGAAGAGATGATCCCCGAGGAGGAGGGTACCAAATACTTAGACCTGGGAACAGCTACTGTTTTGGAAAATCAGCTACGTTGTATGATGGATCGTGTAGACGAATTGAATCAAGAAGCTATGAAGTTTAATAGGTACCAACAGTTAGTTGTTCGTCAACAACAAGAGAAGAACAGGCTTTTGGCCAAGAGGGCTCAAGAGAATGCAGCCAGGGCTGCTAAAGATGAGCCTCCATTACCAGATGATGATATTAATAAATTGATGAGGCCTGTACCTGTTCCACCAAGACTAAACCCCATGATTGTAGCTGGACAGATTAATACATACAGTGAGCACATTTCTCAATTCTGTGCTCAGAGTTTAGCAAAATTGTATATTACTCAAAGCCTTCAGAATGCAAAGGAGTCAAAATCTTTGCACTGAAGGAATAGTAACAACAATTGAAACGTCTGTAATATTAAACGTCATATGTGATGTTAAAAAGTAAAAAATCATAAAATTTTCTCCAAGTATGGTCAATACTTATTTTTCCTCTACATTAAATATCTAGAACATAATTGCAATAAGTATACATTATTTCAATTCCTTACGAACTCTTTTTCGTTATTTTATTAAAAGAGAAGAAAATAGATTTATTTTATTTATTTCATTAGTTTGATAATCTTGTCAAGTCTACATGTTGATATGATAGACAGTAATTCAATAAATTAATTGTAATTCATTATGTTTGATTTTTAAAGGAGGAATTAAACTTCTTTTTTAACATTTAGTACAACAGGTTGTACTTATCTAACACTTTAATTGTACAGAAAATTTACTTAATTCTGGAGTTTCAGCTGTACAGTCTTGAGCAAAAGTTTATTCGCGAATTAACTCGCAGAGGCGATCTAAGTTTCAATGACAAATCATAAATTTCCGTGCCCCGTGCCTTCGTATCTCACCTCGAGTGATAAAACAACGATAAAAATTCTTTCAATGCATCTATATCATTTCGCCGTCCGTGACTTTAAACTTGATGACTTTATTTACAACTTGTTGCAATGATCAGCAACGATACAACCCGGCCATTTATGGAAAGCGTAGGTTTTTGAAGTCACGAAAGCGTGTTATGGGTGTTATGCGCCGCGACGAGTACTTAATGGTACAGTACAGTCGTTTAATATTTCCATTTATGTGGCACGGAATCGCACACACGTCTAACCACAAATACGTAAATGTCAGTCATACGGCTGAGGTGATCGGTATAGGTATGTGACCGGGTGCAATCAAATAATTTAAATTGAGAAGACGAAAATCTGTCGTGCTAGCGGTTGGTATTTGACGTAACTGTGGGTGCATGTATTTACGATGGAGGGTCATCAGGTATGTATCTAAAAACCTATTGATGATACCGACAAACTATCGGATACATTGTTGTAAAGTTTGATCAACATGTTATGACTCATTCATTCATATACTAGTTAAATATAGTTCCTTTGTATTTCAATCTTTCAAACATTCGCATTTAACTTCCAACTTCTCTTTTCTAAATAGGTAAGGGCACTGTATGACTTTACAGGAGAATCAGGAACAGCCGAATTATCTATTGTAGCAGGAGAAGTGTTGACTGTCATGAGAGACAATGTAGGTGATGGTTGGTGCGAAGGTTTCAATCAAAGTGGAAAATCTGGACTATTTCCAGCAGCTTATGTTCAAGTTGTAGAAGCTGCAGCATCCATGTCAAGTATTAACAATTTGTATATCAAAGGATTTATTAAAGGATTATTATAAGGATTATACAATATGTGAATATTTTTATGTATTAGGTGCCATGACATCGTCCCAGCAAAGTTCTGGAGATTATTGGGATGATGATTGGGATGATGATTCAGAAGTTGGTCAAACACAAGCCTATGTTCCTAATCAGCAACAACAACAACAGCAGCATACAATACAGTTAACACAAGAACATAGCACCATTGATTATGGAGATGCTTTTTCTATGCAAACCATTCATTCTGTGATACCTGAAAGGCCTATGCCAAATATACCAAAGAAAAACAATAAATTTTCTACTTTAATAAAGTCAGGTGAAGATAGCTTTTTATCAGGGATTAGAATACCAACTATCTCTGAAAGTGAAAAAATATATGTAGAGGAAGTGGAAGGAGGGCATTGTAGATGGGTTCCAAAAGGAGAATCCTACAATTGTGTGGTAACATCTCCTAAAAAGGAGTCCAAGCTGAAGGGTCTTAAAAGTTTTATAGTTTATCAACTCACGCCTACGGTATTTAGATATGCATCATTTTACATTTTTTTACTTTTTTAATTATCAAGTACCACTGATATAATAATAATACCACTAATTCTCTGTGTAACAGTTCAACAACATTCAAGTCTCAAGAAGATACAAACATTTTGATTGGCTGCATGAACGTTTGGAAGAAAAATATTGTTTCATTCCAATTCCACCACTGCCTGATAAACAAATATCAGGAAGATATGAAAAACAATTTATAGAAAACCGACGTACACAACTGCAGGAGTTTGTTGATTATGTCTGTAGACATCCTGTACTAGCACGTAGCCGTGTTTGGGAGCATTTCATAACTTGTACAGATGAGAAAAGGTGGAAGGCTGGCAAGAGGCTAGCGGAAAAGGATGAAGTAATAGGTGTAAATTACTTTAATGCTATTCAATGTCCCGAAAGCTCCTTAGATGCTATAAAAGTGGAAATACAAACGGATGCTTATAGTAAATTTATAAGTGGCTTAGATCCTGTAGTGAAGAATTTCATGGCCATGGCTGTTGATCAGACAAAGAAAAATCTAGTTCTGTATAAAAGAGAATTTCAGAAGATTAGTCAGTCTTTCACGGCATTGAGTCATGCACTGGAAGTTGATGATAGCAGCCGAGGAAGATTGACTCATGCATTGAAAGTTACAGGTGAAGCTTATAATGACATAGGCAAGTTGTACGAAGAGCAACCCAAGTTCGATTGGGAACCTCTTGCTGATAAGTTTCATATTTATAGGGGAATTATCAGTAATTTCCCAGATGTAATCAGTATACATAAGGTGAACAAAAGAGAAGCAGAGTGTTTATCTGTAAATTCTATTACACAAAATACTATATGACTAACAGTATATGTTTTTTCACTAGAGTGCTGTACAAAAGAGGAAAGACTGTGAAAGATTAGTCAGTGAACATAAAATGGAACCGCAGCAGTTGCGAGAACTTTCTCATCGAACGGATATAATAGCGCGAGCCCTGCTCGCTGAGGAATCACATATTCAGACAGAGCAAGAAATATATATAAATCAAGCCATGAAAACGCATCTCACGGAACAGATTACATTTTATCAAAAAATTGTAGATAAATTACGAGAAGCATTAAATGCATATGAAGGCTGAACCTTATATCTGTTGTAATGTAAGAAGGTTTTGCTTGTCTCATTAAATTCATAATATTGAAACTCGATAATTACTTGTAAGGAGTATGAATTGTATAAAGTAAAGCGACGAATCGTGCTCGTCATTCGTACACAGTATAGAAACACAACAGTTGAAAACAAACAGTATGAAGCATATTGTGTTTAAGTATTGATAAGAATTGTTTGCTGAAGAATTACATAAGTGAATTAGAAGGGTCCAATAGTTTTTTTTAAATGTACCAAAAAGTCACACCATATAATATATATATATATATATATATATATATATATATATATATTTATGTATATATATACATACACGTATATATAAATATGCAAATATATATTTTTTATTTATGTTACTTTCTCATGTTCATTTCAATTGAACATTCAGGTACTATCAAAGCAATTCAATAGGAAGAAATTATATCAAATTGGATTGGAAAAGGTAGAATGCAGTTTCTAAAAACCAAGTAAATTAATGTCGATTAAGTGCTATTATTAATGCTGCATAGTAATATATTACATGTTGGTGTGAAAGTTAATCTTTTGTGGCTGCTACTTTTAGAAATTGAAATAGTTACTTTATAATTTATTATGTCTTTTTTCGTATATAGGTATCTTTCATTGTGTATGTTAAGTTTGATCATGAACTCTTTTTGCCACAGTAAATTTATGTATATATCATTTATATCGTATATTACACAATATTAATATGTGCTTGAAACATAAGTTGAATTTTACATGTATCATATAATTAAGTCAATGTATATTAAAAACAAAATCGCAATTAACTACTGTGTAGTGTAAAAGTTTACATTATATTCTACAATAAACGTAAAACATCTGTAAAATTTATCAGTTCCTTTTATATTACAATTAAAAGTATGTGAATATCCTGCCTTGATAAGCATCTGTATATATTTAGTACTATTGTGTTGTAGCATTCGTAAACTACGGTATGAATATAATTTTAGTAATGGTTTCACTGAATATAAAATCAATTGCATGTATACATAATCACAGATCTAAAAGTGTATAACTTCATTTATGTATATTATAAACTATTATAGTGTGTATAGAATATAATGTAAACTGTTTTCGTTTACGAAATTATTATTACACTCACATTGATCAACCGACTTATGTTTAAACAAACATCAAACATCCTACACAATTTATATATTCTTAATGTATAATTTAATGTCAGACTAAGGCAGCCACTGTGTACATTTTCTACTTAATCTACTATGTGGGAATTTCAACTGTTACGACTACAGACCATCAGTTAAGCATTATAAACTCGAGCATATCGTTGTTAATGCTTTGAAAGTAAATTGTATAAAAAATGTAGCTTAATTTTAAGCGGAAACACAGACAATTTTGTAAAAGATTATTACTATTATTGATATTATCACTATTATTATTTTCATTTTTACTATTACTATTATTATCATCATCATCCTCATTATCATTTTCAGTCATCACACTTTTCTTTTCTTATTCAAAAGGAAATTCCAATAAATGTGTAATAATTTAAAGAATAGCTGTTATTTCTCATATGTTTTAAGCTACCAGCGTTTAATATTTCCATTATTTTTAATAGTCTTACGACTTAATTTAGCTCTTTAGAGTGTATACGAAAAAGTAACTGTGCTATAAATATAACAAACTAAAAAGGTAAATCAGCTGCATCGTATATATATATGTTTTTTTTTTATTCATCAACATTCTATGAAGTAGCACCACAATCAAGAAATTGATAAAAATATGTTAATCTTGAAAGCTGAGTAATTAATGTCCATTTTTTATAATTTTCATAATCACAAGCCAGCTTTGTGAACAAGTAGTATTTACTACCAATCTCCAGAATCTCTACTTTCACATCCTTGGTTGCTCAAAGTGAATTGTTTACAGAAACTTTAAATCGGTAATTTCCATCAGTTTTTCAATGATTACGAATATATTGGCACTGTAAACTAGATCAACTGTATTCTGAATACTAATATCCGTCGCCATAGATGTGACAAACTTGTTCATTAATTTTCTAGAAGCAACTACCTTTTCTTATCATGTACAATTTAACAATGAGACATTCGATACTTATATCTCCACATGCATAAATTTAAGCATAACAATTACAAGGCTTATGCAATCAGAGAATTACAATAGGAAGAAGTTTGTTGCTATATCAGTTAATATATATATATATATGTAGGAGCATTACGCTTAATTTATAGGCAACAATTAAAAGTTTGTTTCATTAATCGTACATTCTCCCTGTCTTGCGTTCGCTCTCTTTCATGCTCTTCTTCTTTCACTCTCATATGTACTCTATCAGTCTGACATTTTTTATATTATTTTCTCGAATAAGACTTCGGTAACAAGACATTTCCATTGCTATTTAAAATCAGCTTATTTTTACATCACATGTGCAATGTTCCTGCCGATATGTTTATTCGTGTGGCGCGGTCTTCTTCATTCTTCTTTTTTTGGAGGATAAGGAGTTGTAAATACGAGCTAAGATCCTGTTACTTCCTTTTTAGAATTTTAAATTATAAGCTCGTTAATAATGTATAAATATCAGGATAATAAATGTTTTTATAATGATCTGTTCTTATTAGATAACACGATGTTGGTAATGTAAAAAATATAATTGTAATTACCAGTATAAAATAAAATTTTAAGTGTGCAGTACGAATAGGCAACTGTATATAGGAAGTAACAAAGAGTTACTATTACTAGAAGGGAGCAAGACTAAGGAACAGTGTAATTTTTATTCACAGTGTATTGGTTTATAGTTTTTATGTTCCTCTTTACTGTTCCATCATCGTGTCATCCAAGGCACTTTATAATGGCCTTTTATTAACTCGAATTCAATTAATTTTGATATGAAAGCATTTGGATAAAATAATGATCACCATCGCGTTCAGCTTATTCTTCTTCGTAAATACGTTTTAACACTAAATTTTCGTAATGTTTGAAGAACATTATAATCAGCTACCTTATGATTAGAATAACTAGTATCGATTCAAAAAATGATTTTGTAACCTTTAATGCATCCCTTCGACTTTTTTTCACACATTGTTTACTATACGAATAGTGCCCGGTACACGGACGGATGTCTAATGCGACAGTGTCCAAAGTTATTATCATATTTGTAATTCACAAGTTAAAGAGAAAAGACTGCAGTAGTTTATAATAAACTGAGTGCCTGTTCGATAAATAACATAAGTTTTTTTATGTGAATATATCTATAGAATATGTTTTTTTTTTTAGATTGATTATATACGATGTAGATTTATTTAAAAGCACGTTTCAAAGGACACGAGAAACATCAAATTGTTTTCCTTTAAAATACAATTTTGCGCGCTACACAATAAATTGTTTTTTTTGTTCACTCATGTAACAAAGCCTTGAAATGTCTGTAAAAATACTCCAAAATGCTAATGCTGATTACTCCAAAAAATTATTGTACATATTTCAATTGAAAGGGTTGTTCAGTGTTAATTAAAATTCTTAACATTGATCGTTAATATTAATATTGATTTACTATTGAGTGTAACCATAATAACATCATTTATCACAAGATTATGGTATTATTGCACTTGACTGCAAGTATTTATAAAAAAATAAAGTAGTACCACTGTATAATAAAAATGTTCCTCAAGCCTTTCATTAAAATATTTGTTATACTGCGTATTTCAACACTGTAATAAGATACAAATATAAAGAGCAAGATTATATGCAGTGACATTAGTATACAATAAATGTCGATATTTCATAAAGAAGTATTAAATACAAAAATATTTGCATGATCACAATGTATTGATGGCGTTTAATTAGATGTTTACTGAAAAAATGGAACATATATAAACAATATGTACATTCTTATTGCAATATATATTCGGATCTAGACAATGAATGCGTAACTAATTAAACGTAAAGTTTGTACTTCAGATTTTTTTGACACAAGACAATTTTAATTTATCTGTAGTTCAAGAAACATGCAAAGTATTAAAAACTGAACGTGGTTACAAATTTTCCAAAAATATGCATCGTGCGTTTACTTTCAAGGAACTTTGTAGGATTCTAATACCTGAAACTATATAATTTGCTTTTTATATTTGCATTTTGCAAAGAGACAAACGAGGAATCGTGTATGTATTATGTACACATTTGCTGACATTCTTAGTGCAATGTATGATTAAAAATATCAGGACATTAATATACATGTATGTATGCATATATTATATCTAGTTTTTAACAGATCTGATTCAGAGTTTCTTAAAAATGTAGCAATATCACTATGTAACAGAAAGAGTATACTGTGTACACAATGTACATTTTATAATCCAGTGGACTGTACATGGCTTGGTACAAACACTTGCATTTACCTATGTTATGAAATAAAATATACATATATATATTTTAGTTATCAACGAAACGTAAGAGTAAGGATTACTTGAAATCAGATCTTATACAGTCTCACAACACGATCTCGTATAGCAAGATTTTTCTCGCTAATTAAAAGTGATCCCGTTTTACAGAAATCATTTCGCTAAATTCGTCTTTTTTTAGTACCTATCAAAATGTTATTTCAGAAAGTGTTACATTCCGTTGTACCATTTGCTCTAAAGGTACCGGGCAAGAAGTTATATTTATGAAATTTGAAACATATTTGCCAGGATACAACAAGGCTATTACATTGCAAAAAATCATCTAAACAGCCACTATTCATTACTCCGAACTTTATAAAAGATAAAAACTTGTCGTTGTACTGTTAACATTAGTTCTTGTTTTATACACATTCACTTAGATTTGATCCAGCAAGATTTCTTGCAAAGTGTCATATGAAATTTCACAATTTATGTAACATCGTTCAGATACACACCTATGATAGATCTCGCTCGATCAAATCAATAACCTTTAACATATCGCCATGAAACTTCTATTGATAGCTATAGATATTCGATTCTATTGTTAATATGTGTATTAACACAATGAAGCTCTATGCGCGACTGTCCGAAGAGAGCCAGCGAAGTGGAAAAAAAAAACATGGAAAATCGCTTTGTATCACGCGGGCTGTTACATAGGTCTGTAATGTACATAACTAGTGGTAACCGTGTCACAGGAGACCACCGAATAAAAGCGGATTAGCTGAAATCTATACAAATCCCTGCGCCAAATTAAATAGTTTTGGCGAGGGAGTTGAAACGCCATATCCAACGGCTTCGAGTAAGTATTCTCGTAGACGAAAATTTAGTTGCGTGACTCAGCTTTTCTTATACTTCCGTTGCTTTCTAAGATACGATATATTTGTCTGAAAGAGAGTAGACAGAGCAGTGCGTGTGCTACCCCACAGCTTGAAGCGTTTGTTGCGTAAGTATAGTGGTGAATTTGGGGTGATCGCAATGGGAATAGGATTTGAGGCCACCAAGCTTGATACGGGCAACGGCGGCTCAAGTATTTGCTTCAATTGAGGTTGTTCGGAGGTTCCACTGATCTGGCTTGGTGACTGGGGTTGTTGGATTGCGACTGATCGGGGTATGGCATGGGGTTGCCGCTGGAGGGGCCTGTTGATCCTGGACCCTGCTGCTGTTGCTGGCCGCTGTTGAGAGCCAGCCGTTGCATTTGACGTATGACCGTGGCTGCGTGATAGGCTTGCTGCAACCATGAGAGATGAGGAAGACTTTCCTACGGAGCCTGGCGAGCAAACACATACAATCAGCGGGTTGAAAATCATTCAACCATACTAACCTTCCACCTTGATTTGGCGAAATTCTTTCTAAGTTGTTCCGATACAGTACCATGGATATTTTTATTGCTAGCTGCGTTGCCGGATATCCTGAAAAAATCAATTGCGCAATATCACATTAAAAAGAAAATAGACACTACGATACACAGCATATTGTTTTATGAACACGTCGGCGAACACCACTTGAATTTTTATTATCATTATAGAATGGTACCGACATTATACAGTAATAATGTATTTTTAAAAAGTCTTGTTTTATCCAACGTACATTCATTCATTGACTTTTATTGTGTTAATTTATTGACTATTATTCGTCATTACAATGCAGGAAAAACAGATATTTTAATCTTAGATTTGTAATGCACACTCGGTTATTCTGCACATCCGGGAATGCAACCAGTATTTTTAAAATATGTTATGTTACTGGATGACAAGATAAATGTAATTTTTTACTTACTGATTCCATATTTATCATATTATTAAAGGCAATTCTGTTCCTGTAATGTTTTTATTGCTTGACTTTTAAAACACGACTTTTGAAATGTTTAGAGCCAAGAATATACTCTAAGGTTTTATAGAATGGTGTTAATTTTTCAGTGTAACTTCATTACTCATTCTGTGTGACTACATAGAAAAACAAATGCAATTTCAAGTGAAACAAACAGTGTGAAATATTTGAGGGTAATAATGATCTTACCAAGGATGTGCAAGGGCTTGCTTGCAAGTATAGCGTTCTTCGACATTGACACATATCAACTTGTGTATGAAATCCTTTGCAGAGTCACTGATATCGTCCCAGAACGGCGAATCAAATTCAAATTCACCTATAACAGTCTGGTTAGCTCTTTGCTATAGAGTAGACGATTTTATTTTTTATTATGAAGTATTTCATATAAATTAAACAATTTATTTGGAAGAAATACTGTTAGCTAAAGTTTATCTTTTTTTTACTTGCGTCAAAGACTCCTCGATAATTGATAATACTATACAGTGTACTATATAATACTAAAAACGAATTTTTAATGTGTCCTCTTTTTTTTTTTTTTTAATAAATTAACAGCTAATAGTTTTTAGAAGAAGAAACGCGGTCGCACACAGAATGTCATTTACTTACTATACTAGCATGTATAAAGCAGCATACAAAAACTAGAATAGTACCTTAAAAATGAAAATTTCAAGTTAATGAACAATTGCATGTGCTTGTTGGTTGTGTGGTCCTAAAAGTAGTAACTAAGTTGAAATGATAGTATAGTCCTTCCAAATGCCACAAGTATTCTCCCAAAAATAATCTTATTACCTTTCAAAATTTGTGCAAACAGGACAGCGTCATTCTCATCGTAAAACGGCGGGTATCCACATAATAAAATGTAAGAAATTACTCCTATGCTCCATACATCAACAGCCTTCCCATATGGTTTCTGAGCTAAGACTTCTGGAGCTGTGCACATAAATACATAATTAATTCTCTTCCCATCTGTATCTTTATCTGTTCACAAAAACATTTTATTATCTTACCAACATATCCTGGAGTACCGCAAGCAGTCTCCATGATACCAGAGTCTTCCATTTTCGATAAACCAAAGTCACTAATCATAATCTTACTATCTTCATGTGGACTATAATATAAAAGATTTTCAGGTTTGAGATCTCTATGTACGACACCCTGTTCATGCATATAATCAACAGCTTCAAGAATTTGTCTTATTAAACCAGATGCATCCTTTTCTGTATAGGAACCTTTTTCAACAATTCTATCAAAAAGTTCTCCACCAGTGACTCTAACAGAAGAAAACAAAGAATTCTGAAATCTGCACTGTCTATAATTTTACATTAGAATAGTAAATAATAACTTACAATTCCATAACTAAATAAACCTTATGCTTGTCCTCAAATGTTTCTAACAGTTGAACAATATTTGGATGCATTAATCTGTAACAAGTATGCAGATAAAAGATAAGGTAACTGATTTATTTACCCATGAAAGAATGAAAATCCTAATGTACATTACCTTCTCAAAACTTTGATTTCATTTTCTAAAGAGTCTTCCTTCCCTTTTAGTGCTTTCTTGTCAATGATCTTCACTGCAAACACTTGACCAGGCTTCTCCTTAGTTTCTGCCAGGCGTACTTCAGAAAAAGCACCCCTAAAAAGTACACATTATCAATATATAAAACAGAAACACATAAAATTCTTGAATGTCATATTAATCTAAAATATCAGTGTTAATTTCAATTTTAAATCCTTGGCACAAAGCTTATCACAGAAATTAAATTATTAATTACAACAAGGTAGCATATTGCATTACAATGTAAGAAGACTTATGTAATTATTCCCAATTGTTTATTGCTGCAAATGTTGCAACATTCACTGCCAGACTTTTCATTTAATGACAGACTATATGCAATTGATTACAGCATATTTTGATATGAATTTCAATGTAAATCCCTAATATGTATATTCCTGTACTTTCATTGTAATATTAATTCATATAAGTAAGTAATAAATGTACTTTTTACTATTAATTACTATAAATAGAACATTATCAATATTTAGTACAAAAGTATTAAAAAATTGATATCCCTCATGCTATGAAATATACATATGTATTGTATATTGCATATGTTCTCCTGTTTATATATGCATGCACTAAATTAAGAAATCTTGTACAATATTCTCTACTAACAGAAAGCACTTTCCATACTTCAATATTTTAAGAAACATCAACGACTAAACAAAAGAAAAATTGTAGGTAGCTGTATAAAGTGACCGTTAACATATGTACTGTATCATATAAATCATAGGTTTCATTAAAGGATTAATAAAGTATAACTTTCATTTTAAAAGTACACGTCAATTAAATAGTCAGTAAATGGTGGTCAACTTTCATGTGTAACATTCCGAACGATTTTTCAAACATTAAATATGTACATACTATTATTTATATAATAGCGTTCGGTTAAGCAATTTCAAAACATTCTTTATACGTAACAGCCATTACAAGCGATACACACTCGAGAATTCGATGGATATCTACATAGGTGTGATAATTCCATTACGGTCCAATACGCAGTCCGTAATGATGTATAATACGTACGTTCCGAGCAACTCCTTCAGGATGTACTTATCCTCGACGGACGGTGATTTTTCATCTTTTCCATCCTTCTTGATCTTCTTGTTCGAATCCTTTTTACCGAAAAGCGGCATTTTCGCTTTCTGGTGTCTCAGTATCTCACACTTTCACACTGCTCTTTCAGGTCGAGATCGTAAGGCTGCAAACTCCTGACAGGTTATACGTCGCGTTACGAAAATCGGTCGAACGAAAGTTCTTGATGTGTTACAGTCTCTGGACGTCTGGACTCCGATTCTTTCGGCAGTGAAAAGCGAGGAGAGGAAAGATCGTCGGTCAAATGTCTTGTAAAATCATCGTTTCGAGCCGATGAATGATCATGAACTCTCGACCTTTACGCACGTAAACGATAGCAAGATACCCGTGTGCACCACACGATGCTGTTCTACTTTCCGTATTCGTGGACCGAGTTTGACACGTATTCGTTCCGCGCACTTTTCTGCTCCCGAAACGCTCTATTCCGCGTCGCGCGTATCGGGCTCAGGGTCGCGGCCTCGCGCCCTCACGATACAGCCTGTGCCTGTAGTGGCCTGTACTACACTGTACTATAGACCCAACAGATATGCTTCCTACGTGTTTGATCGGTTCTGCTACCCCGTTTTAACGTGTAACGATAATATTCTTTTTTCGCCTTTCCAATAAATGCATATTAATTTGCATAAGGATGGATCATGTTCTTCTGGCAAAACTGGGCGAAACGCTGACGTTTCGCGAATCCATCGATAGAGGACTACGAACTCATACCCGATTCTCGCTTCTTATTTATACTTGTTTATACTTGATGGATGTTGATCATGTTGATTGAGTGTAAGGTAGTAAAATGCCTAGATTACAGATGAATTTTACGTGGATTTAAGATTTTCGTTTTACTGTAATTTATATTAATTGTAACTTTGCAGTTTGAAGACGACATTCATTACGGCGTAATGATTACGCAACAATTTTAATGTCAACAATACAACTTATAGTAGTCTCTTTTCCCCCTCCTAAATTGCGCTTATGATAACTGCTGCAGCATTCAAGTTGACTTTCATCCGTCGATAATAATGCAGTGAAAGTGCAGCATGTCGCATCAGTGATTCCCATACGTCTTTTTTCATTACGTCAAAATCACTGCTCGATTCACATTACGTTCCGAAATTTAGTTTCCTCGATGCAGCATGAGAAACACTCTGTAGCAGGAATAAGTGTCTCAACATTATTTGTAAACTTTATTAGCTATACTTTGGACTCGTATTTTATGTTTGATTTATGTTTGTTTCGTTAAGTATTGCTTACTGGAGATTTTAAAATGTAGTAAAAGGTAAAGTGTGTTGCTCAGAAGAAATCATCCATGACGGCACAGGGCCAAGAGGGGTATTTCGCCGACCAATAGTCACCAATACTTAGCACTGCAAGACGCCACGTCATTAACATCAGTACACGTGTTACTCTGTTATCGCTCTATCTCACTTGATCTTGTGTTTTTGTTCGCTTTCTTTGTCACGAACAAATTTGATTGGAGGGTTTCTCGTGAGCTCTCCTCAGCTCTCCTGGTGTACCTCTACATTAAAATTGATAGAATTCAATTCTAAAAGATTGTAATAGAGAATTACTATTTAGATATCTATGTTTTTATACATAATACTTACCCCCTTGTCACGTTTTTGTTTATGACAATAATAATACAGAAAAATGGTTTATACGGAAAAACACAAAATACTTTTACAAATAATCATTCACGAAGGTCTTCTGGATGAAAATAAGATAAAAGATTTGGTTATTAAATTATTTAGTAAGTGAATTTTATGTTGTAGTAAACTTTGTTTAATGTATATTTATTGTGTTTTGTGCATATACTTTGTAGATGAAATTATACATTTTTTTAGACGATGATAAAATATCATTGGTAATAAATCATATAAATGAGCAGTTACAACCTTTAAATATGTTAATCAAGAAAGCACAGTGTGAAATTACAGGTCAAGTATATTGGGTTTTAATAAGTACTGTGCTTGATGAAGTAACCAGGTATATACATATATTTCAAATTTGATTAACATTACCATTAATTTTTTGTTTAAAACCACAAATTATTATAGATTTCAAAATGAATTTTCAAAAGGACAGTTAGCCTTATTAAGAAACATATTTTCTGAAATCATAACATCAAGTAATGGATTCGCTCAAAGTACATCATGTCTTAATTTGTGTTCTTTGCCAGATGTTAAGTTATCAAAAGCAATGGGTGAAGAATTTTTGAACGATGCAGTTAATAGAAAATGGTTAGCTTATAAGGTAATAATAATAAGACAAATAAAACTTTTATACTTTATTTGTTACATAGTTTCTTATGTTTACAGAATGGTAATTATTACATGGGCATAAGAAGTATAACAGAATTAATGCCATATTTTCGAGCTACTTATGAGGGTAATATAAGTACTTGTTGCCTTTGTAAGCAAGTTATCTTTTATGTAAGTTCTTATAAAGAATGGATATAATTATAGCATTAAACTACAAATTACATTTTCTTTTTATTCTGTTTAGAGCAAGAGGTGCGACCACTGTCAAAGTTTATTACACTTACATTGCTTAAAACAATATGCTACAGTTCACAACCCTGTGACATGTCCCACTTGTGGTTCAGTTTTTCTTAATGTTAATTTATCTGGTAATATTTTATTTCTTTGCCATGAACTTACATGTTGCGTTGTTACAATTAATTTCTGGTAAAATCATCTTGTACAGGTAGTGTAGATGATTATGCAGCACTGATGGATGAAGATACAGAAGATTAACAGACATCTATTAAAATGGTCTTGAGGCTCAGGAGTCATTAACGTATCAATATTTTTTATGTAAAATGTATTAAAGAGGATCTGTAGTATATTTTACATTGTATACATTTATATACATATGAGTATTTACAAGAGTTTGTATATATTTCTTCGATTTTTTAGTACTTTGTCAGGTTTGTTTAAAAATGAAAGTAGTCTTTTCTAGTATAACGTTTCAAGTGTTCTGACTTTCTTCAAATTTCTCTCTTAAATATCTTAGACCTGCTGCTATACTTTCTTCATCTATGCTTTTGTTAAATTTCATTTGCTTCTGTATATCATTCAGAGTTATGTTTGCAACAACAGAGTCATACTGAGTAGTAGAATCTGTTTGGGGAAGAGTAATGTCTTCAGTATTGGCATTACTTTTTAGCAAAGTAGAAGGAAGTGGTATATCATAAGTATTGGTATTCCTATCATTTTTGCTTTGTAATTCAGTTTGAATAATTGTTTCAGAACGATCAAATTTGTGGTCATTATTATCAGGGATCAGATAACCACTACTTTTAAAATTATCATATACTGGTCCAAATTCACTAAGCCTAACTTTTCTACATTTATGTATCCATTCTTCTTGCGACATTTCATACCAATGATTCCTTTTGCCCAATAATTCTCCTAATGCTCTGATTTTATTTTCTTTTTCTATGGTTTTCTCTTCTTCACTCTTTTCGGTTTCAATACAATTCTCGTTTGTAACTTCAGTTGTCTGTTCTTTATTACTAATCTCTGATGCATTTAGGCTCAATTCATTTTCTTCTTTCACCTTGATACTATCTTCTTCTGGTTCTATTGGTAATCCTGCTCTGACTCTTTGCCTAATTCTAGCAGCTTTTAATCTGTTATTTTCCATTTTTTCTCGCAACTCTTTAAGTTCTTTAATCTCTCTCTGTTTTCGTTCTGTTTCCTTTCTTAAATTGGACAAGTTCTCTTGTTGTTTAGTTCTTTCCTCTTCATCTTGTGAAAATGCATAATAACCAACACCATGAGCTCTGGCTTCATCAAACAAAACATCTTGGTAGTGTATGTCTACCTTGTCTATTAACTTCTTTGTTTGCTCTTCCCATTTTCGTCTCATAATTTCTATTTCAGGCTCTTTCTCTTCTTCAACAAAAGTTTGTTCTATATTATCATTAGTCTTTGGATCAATACCTTTCTTGTTTATAATCTGCTGCTTTATCAAGTTATCTTTCTCTTGCATGAGAGGTAAGTCCTCACGTAAACATTTCCTTGTACGACCAAAGCAATCTTCATATTCCACCCAATCATCTTCATTTTTCAATGATGCATCATCATCTTTGTCATCTTTTAGTAATGATTCTTCCTCAGATTCATCTGATTTATTTGTAAAATCAACAAGGAAATTATCATTACTGTTTTTGGATTTTTTTAATCGTTCATATAATCTTGCTTTTGCTTCTAACATTAGCTTTGATTTTTTATGGGTATTTGTATCTTCAATATATTCTGTTTTTTCTATATTTTTTTCTGTACTCTTTTCCTTAACTATTTTTGGCTTTTTCTTAACTATTGGTACAGTGTAATTGATTTCTGACTTCAGCTTAGCTTCATTTACTTCAGTCTGTTTCCTCAAAAGTTCTGCTTTTAGACCCACCAGAGACGAAAAATTCACGTTGATCTTTTTGCTGGTGTTCATTTCTATAGAAATAACGTAAATATTGTATTGTTACTAACCAATAATTTAACATAACGGTTGTAGGTTATGGTGTTGATACCACTCACCTTTTATAGACTCCTGAAATTAGAAAGGAGTGGCTTAATTGGCAGCGTGTACTTAATAAAATAAATTGATTCAATTTCTGTGAACAAATTAAGGCGACTTTTGTTTACACGCATGCTGCATGAATGACAGTTCGTGAGTTCGATAGAGCATCACTGCATCACAATTGATTACATACAACACAGTGATCCGTGAAATCGTAATAACATCATCATCGTTCAGTTCAGTGATCATCAGTGATATTGAAGTTTACTTCTACTCACTTTTATTGTAAATATGAAAATTACCCAGAATGGTACAGTCTTTATTTGTAATACCATAACATGTATTCTTATGAATGATATCTGTCTGTAAATGATACTCGGATCCCTATAACCACGAACAAAATACAAATACATGTATGTATTTTTTAATTTGTTAACTATATATATAGTAAATATATTTACATCATTCAAGTTTTATAAATGAATCGTGTGTAGAGTGTAGAGTGTAGAGGTACGGGATAGTGCTAGGATTTTGTTCTTAAATGATATAAAAAAATTAAACATAAACATAATAAATCAAGAGTTGTACGAAAGTTAAGAATTTTTTTGTTTATTAATAAATAAATTCAATTAAAATTTCTATGCTTGTTAATCAAACTATAGAAACATACATTTGTAATGTGAGAAATATATATGCAATGCATGCATCGACTTATCGAATGTATGTATGTATAAGTATATATAAATCGATGAAAACATATTCCGCATTTCTTTCGCAAAAGGTGATACATATTCAACATTCTAAATATTAGTATTACCTTAAAAATTAAAGAAATTTTTCAGAAAACTTACATTATAGTTAGAATAAATAAAACTGAAGATGAACATGAATCAGTGAAATACATTTAAACGATAAATTAGCATACGTGTGAAACGATTACGAAGGGAACAACACTTGTGGGTTTTAGCAGGTCTTAGGCTCGATTCTTAAGTAATATAAAAAAATTGCGCAAAAAACATTCATTTGTTTCATTACGATTTCCAGAAATGTGCGCAACAGATTTACAGATATTTATCAACATTTTTTAATATTTAGTCATTGTTAGATAATCCGGACGCCATTTGTCAAACCAAAAATCGATTGTCGATTATCAAACCAAGTCCGAAGTTGAAGCTGCCGATCTGCTACTATGTTAGTGGTGTAACTTGCTAACATCGAATAATCGTAGCTGATCGTAGCACGTTGGGACGCCAGTTAACGATCAAAAACGAGGATACATAAAAGGTAGTTGTTTGTTGTATCGATATCAGTAGTATTTACATAAGGGGAATAGAATAATCGAACCGCATCGACTTTGTTCAGAGGTGATTCTAAATAAGATTGATAGAGCACGATGCCACCCCGAAAAACCGCGAAACATGCTGATGCGGAGGTTGTAGACAGAGTCGCAGAAGCCGGCGATTTATCGCCTCCGAAAAGAAAAAAAATTTCGGCGAAGACTGCGAGTAAAAGCGACGAAGAGAAGCAAGTGCGATTGCCAAGAGCCGCGAAATCGGCGAAAATCGAGCAAACTGATATCGCCAACACCGCGCCGGTCGTAACTAAAAATGCAAAACCGGTGAACAAGACTATGTCCGCCAAAAATGTTCCAACGAAAGCGAACTCAAAAGTTAAGGCATCGGCTGCTAGGAAAACCAAAGACGTCGAGGAAACTGCCGACACGGGTTCATGTATGTACACGTTTTCAAACTTCTTGCGTACTTCGACGTCGTTTAGCTGTTCTCTCGACGTTTGTCTCGACATAACAGTTATTCGTTAATGGAAAATATGTATCGTTTCATCTGTTATTTAATTGTAGAACTCTGAGAAAAAATTTGGATCATTGTATAAAAATGTGAAATGGGTTTTATTCTCTTAATTGTTAGGATATATATTTAACATATAGTCATTTGTCATGTAACATTATTTTACTTGTAGCAAAATCAAAATCTAGGGAGAAAGCCAAAAAAGGTATAGCTGAGAGTATAGAAAGTTTAGAAGTACCGACTACAAAAAAGACAAAGCAGGCTAATACTAAAGCAGTATCTAAGGAAAATAATACAAAGGCAAAAGCAACTAGGAAGAAAGCCGGAGTTGATAATGATGTAAAAGGTAAAGTTATTTATAATGAAAATAAACAAACCAGTTATAATGAGATTAAAAATTATGTTATTAAAATAGAAAAGCCAAGTGCGGTTGTAAGAACAACGAAAAAAGTAGCTAGTAACAAACCTGTGAAAGCTACTTCAAGGAACACAAGAGGTCGCAAGAATATGGTCAGTCCTGAAGATGCATCAAAAGATGAAGACGACTCAAAAGTAACAGGAGAATCATCCTCTTCAGAAGCTGTTAATACTAGCGACAACGAGAATCAAGAGGTCCAGAGTAATCAATTGGAAGGAACAGAGTCTATTCAATTAACAAAAAGAGGAAAGAATGTGAAAAAGAAGGAGGAAACAGCACAGCAAAAGAAAGTTACCAAAAATCGTGGCAAGACTGTTAATCATAACAACATACCGAAATCCTTGGAAGAAAATAATCATAAAGAGGAAGACTCTGAACAGGAAGAAACGAAAATAACGAAAAGTTCAGAAATGGTAGAAAAAGCAGATGAAGCTACAACGAAGAAGGAAGTTAATGAAAATAATGTAATGAATTCACCAGTAAATGAAGAAGAAAATTAAGGGCCAGTGTTATATTTTTACTTGACGTGTTTCTTAATATATCATTAATATTTTAATATATTTCATAAAGATAAAAAATATTAGTGAGTATTTCCATGTTTAGAAGTACTCGATAAACGTACATTGTAAGAGGTCAGTCATATCTTTCAGTTATGTATTGTTCCAAGAAAAGTTATTTGTATTTTTCATAAACTATTTTACATAATATAGTTTTTGAAATCCATTTGTTGTTGCGCCGACTTAGTAGTATTATCATATTTAAAATTGTTGCTCATTTTGTATTTCAGGCTAATTATGATTAATGCAGAGTGATCAGTATTTAGTATTCCATTAGTTTCCATGAACATACATTGATCGTTCTCAGTAACGGTAATATTTTTTAAGTAAGACTTACGTTTTACTTGAAAATGAGAATTAAAAGGTTACAGAATGTTCAGATATAGAAACATGCTGCAACTAAGTGTACATTTTAATCTTATAATACATCTAAAATGATATATACCGTTATTCAGCAAGTTACATTTGACTGGTAGAATTCTTATAAGTATGTGTATGATCATATCATTCTTAGGCAAATACATTAACGTGAAATACATGAAGCAACAAAACTTGACAGGACAATCAGATTTCAGTTTATATTACATTATTTCAGGTTCCAATAAATGTTTATGTGCTCATTAATTCTTGATAACAGTTATTTTTATTTCATCTTTTGTTTATTTTTTGTTACAAAATTAGTCTGCTAACTTTTTATACTTTATAATCTGTTTTGAGTGATACATTACAGAAAATGTATCAATGTACATACATGTAAGTGGTCATGTAAAAGTTAAGGTATGTATACGCTATTTGATTAGAATCAATTTTAACCCCATCGCACCGGTGGACGAGATATCTCGCCACGTGATTTCGTTCATGATATGCTTTGGACGATCTCGTAAAAGCATGTCATGAACGGAATCACGTGGCGAGATATCTCGTCCACCGGTGCCAAGGGGTTAATACCAAAAATAGTGTACTAGGTAAATTCTTCGAAAGATTTACACAACTGTTTCTATTAATAGTTGTAATTCAATTTCATGTACTTTATGCCGTTCTGGCTCTGAGAATGTGTGTAAAAAGTAGCAACAATCATTCTCGTTGTTGCAGTCGCAAATGACAGGTGGTGCCATCCATGATAAATCGCTCCAAACTGATAGACAAACTATTTCTGCGGTTTGCCACGGATGGCGCCACATGTTAATAATACATAGCGCATTTAAATCCGATTTTAACAGTGTTCTGTTCACTTATTGTTATTATCAATACTAGGAAGTCATTCTACGTTTTTTAAGGAACAAATCAAGTGCTTGCTCAAGACGGATGCTGTTCGTATAACGGTGTAAGAGCTGTCGAAACATGTTGGAATAATGGATGCCTCTTCTCTCCGTGAATTTCTATATCAATAATGGCAAGAATCATTCGCAAATTAGTTGCACATATTTTGACCGCATTTACACAGTTATATGACCACCATTTTTATTTCTCAAGCACTAGATTTAAAGCTTAAACAACGTAGATTAATATAATTTATTGCTTGAGACAAAATAATCACAAGAACATTGTTAAAATTACAATAGTTTGCAACGGTTGATACTGTGTCTTGTTATGCGCACCTCGTTTAGTTCAGTTTGGACAGCTCTTACACCGTTATACGGATAGCTTTCGTTTAGATAAAGCACTCGATTTGAAGCTTAAAGAACGTAGATTAATTCCGAGCCATTGATACTAACAGTAAATGACTAGAACACTGTTAAAATCGTATTTAATCGCGGAATACCACTATTTTTTCGACCTGTGGCGCCGCCCGTGGCAATTCTCTCAAACTTCTAGCCAAATCATACCGACAGGTGAGTGAAAATTCCTAGTGATGGAAAAATGCGAATATCTCCGTAATTAAGGGTTCAAAGTTAAGGATGATAGTCTTAAATTATTCCACACGATTCAATGCGTCGACTGAATACAGCAGAACCCCATAATTAGACAAATTATTTCTGCCAATGTTGATACATATGTACATTTGTAGTGTTGACAGAAATAATTCTCCTGATTATGGGATGCTGGTGTATTGGTTAAATGCACGGGATCGTCAGGAGTAATTTGAGACTAATGACGTTCATTTTGAGCGCTTCATTACTGAGATATTCGTATTTTTCCATTACTGGGAATTTTCACTCACCTGTCGGTATGATTTGGCTAGCAGTTTGAGAGGATTGCCACGGGCGGCACCACCGGTCGAAAAACAGTGGTATTCCGCGATTAAATACGATTTTAACAGTGTTCTAGTCATTTACTGTTAGTATCAATGGCTCGGAATTAATCTACGTTCTTTAAGCTTCAAATCGAGTGCTTTATCTAAACGAATGATATCCGTATAACGGTATAAGAGCTGTCCAAAGTGAACTAAACGGGGTACGCATGACGAGATACAGTGTCAACCGTTGAAAATAAATGTGATTTTAACAATGTTCTTGTAATTACTGGTTCCCAGCAGCTAGACAGAACTAATCTATGTTCTGAAAACTTCGAATTTCATGCGTGATGAGGAAAAATGATACCCGTTCAGCGGTATAAATGTGATCGAAAGGTGTTGCAAGTAGGGTTGCCGCTACATAAGGGGCTGTGGTAATACAGACATACTTAATTTTATTAAATCTGTGGTTCTGCATTATGGGGTCAATGCGTCAAGTCCTCGGGAACAATTTGAGACTAATAACGTTCATTTTGAGCGCTTAATTACGGAGATATTCGCATTTTTCTATCACTAGAAATTTTTACTCACCTGTCGGTATGATTTGGCTAGCAGTTTGAGTGAATTGCCACGAGTGGCGCCACCGGTCATAAAAATAGTGGTATTCCGCGATTAAATGCGATTTTAACAGTGTTCTGGTCACTTATTGTTATTATCAATACACGTGGGTGAACCTACGTTCTGTAAGCTTCAAATACATCTCGTGGTCAGTATGAATATTGTCCGTCTAACGTTGTATTTGGCAATCAATTGCGGTCGTGCCTGTGGATTCCGTTTGGCAGGTCTGGTTTAGTTCCATTCTTTCGCCGCGCAGATGATTATAGCGTGCCTGTTCCAGTGGGCAGGCCTTATTTTAAAAATGTATAAAGCGCATTAATTATTGGGTTTTGCTGTATGGATTCGATGCGCTGGATCATAAGAAACGATTTGAGGTAATGGCATTAATTTTGAGGAGAGCTAACTAACGCTTAAGCTTTTATATTCTTCTAATTTCGCAGTTCTCTGTTTCGCCACAAGATGACGAGACCTTGAGTGTTTGGCACTTCCTGTAATAATTACTTAAATAGTTCACAATTATGCTGTTCCACATCGATTGTGTTGCTGAGAAGTAAAACAATCTGTTGTCATTAGAATTCTTTTTTTTCTACGCATAGTGCTTCTTTTTTTTTTTTTTCGTTACTTTTTGGAACCACTCTCCAATGGTTGACGATAATTAATCATAGAAATCATATGAATATGAACAGCCTGTCCAGATTGATTCTAAATACATTTAGAATAATAGAAACAGAATGAAGGGGTTGATGAATAATAAAACGAAGACGATTTTTACATTCCTTGTCGTAAAAAGTGAGTATATGTAAGAAAGATTCGGAATTAGCTGATATATAATGTTCTCGAGGGAAGTTACAGAGTTTCGAGGGAGTGAGAACGCAGCGCGTTTCCATTCGAATATTAAAGTGATCCGCCATTACTTTAATAAACCTGTCTTCTTTGTCCCCTCCGTCTATGCAGCTTTTCCATGCGCCTCGAAGACTTTCGACGCAGCAGTCGCAGATGTCACTGTACCCCTAATGAGCGCGCTATTTTTCACCAGTATTTTTATCCCGTTTATTGGCTGCCCGTTTCACAAACTGTCAGCCGGATATTAATCATCCCGCTGTTACGACTCCGCCTTTATTTCTTCTAAGGATAAGGAATGAAAAGGATCTAGAAGCCGGTTAGGGGGTGCCGGAGGTAACGAGAAAACTCGTGTTCCTTCGTTAGCAGTATGGAAACGACTCCGAATCCAATGGAATTCATTGCGTTGAGACGATGTTTTTCCAGACTGTGTCCGTTCATTCTTATGGCCTGGTATGTATGACATACAATCTCTGGTAAACACGAGTAACATAATGTATACGAACGGTATACAGGTTGGATCATTATTGGCGGTAGAACGTTATAAATAATTTACTTGTTATTTTTACGATTGTTGTGGTTGCTGGTAGCCGTGTGATCGGTAAACATCGATAAGAAAGTAAGCAATATGAACCGAGTGCAGAGACGCTGGGATGTTACATATCGGAGAAGAAGCAATTTATGTATGTATACGACGGTAGATATAGATTCTGTTTGTAGGTAATAAAGACGCGTAGAAGGATCGGGTAACGCGTAACAATCAGTTCAATGAGCCGCTATAACGCTTCCTTCGTCGGGATATAAAAATGGTAGGATCGGGGAGGGCCTAATAGATCAGGATTTATTCCGCGATAGATCGACGGGAAGATAGTGTGACGGGAGTGAAACGGTCGCGTCGCGTTACATCGCCCGCTCCTTTCGTTCCCGTCGATCCCATAAAAGTCCCAATAATAATTTCTGATGTTTTCCGATGCAACATGTTTGATTTAGTGTCGGACATTTTGTGATCGCATATCTGCCTCGTAAATCTCTCCGCGGTGGCGCCACTGCATAAAAATATCAAACGTCGATGTGTCCGCGTTCAACCCCAATCCCACGTAAAATATTGCCCGTGATTCCGCGCGACGGAAATAGCCTTTCATTCCGGCTGCCTGATAATTCCAGAATTTCGCGATTTATACTCCGAAAGGTTATAAAAGATACGGCCGATTGCGTGTTATTATTAATTGCTGCGCGCCACGATAAAGTGGAACGTTTAGTTTTAAAAAATCCCCTCAAACGAATATCGGAGGACCGGGTCCGGAATATACGG